AGGTCCCAAGAAAAAAACAGGGGAGCAGACAAAGGTGGAGATGTGTGCTACATTCTACACAAATACCTCAACTAAGAAATGACTGACTGATGGTCTCTGAAAAAGAATAGCCAAGGCCAAATTTGTCTTTTGATGGTACTCAACTCCAGATGCCAGTGAAGACCGGACTGTAGAAAGGACTCCTTAAGATGGGGCTTCCTAGCCTCACACCACTCAAAATAGGTTTTCCAGGTGTAATGGTAAACTTTCTGATAAGCTGACTTCCTAGACTTCAAGAGTGTAGGGATGACCGAATGTGATAAGCCCCTGTTCCTAATGACCTAGGCCTAAGCCGTTAAAGCCAATAACCAAGAAGAAAGATACAAGATGCACTGGTCCTTGGGACAGAAGGTCCCAGAGTCTGCCAGGAGTCTGAGTATGAGGACCATGGCCTTCTGAGCCAGTTTGGTGCAGTAAGAATCACCAGAATGCCCTCCATCTCGATTTTAAAAAGCAAACAAAAAGGGCTTCACTGGTAAAAACCTACTCTGTACCAGCACTCATGATTAAATGCCACATACAGTCAGGTCCATAAATATTGGGACATCGACACAATTCTAACATTTTTGGCTCTATACACCACCACAATGGATTTGAAATGAAACGAACAAGATGTGCTTTAACTGCAGACTGTCATCTTTAATTTGAGGGTATTTACATCCAAATCAGGTGAACGGTGTACGAATAATAACAGTTTGCATATGTGCCTCCCACTTGTTAAGGGACCAAAAGTAATGGGACAATTGGCTTCTCAGCTGTTCCATGGCCAGGTGTGTGTTATTCCCTCATTATCCCAATTACAATGAGCAGATAAAAGGTCCAGAGTTCATTTCAAGTGTGCTATTTGCATTTGGAATCTGTTGCTGTCAACTCTCAAGATGAGATCCAAAGAGCTGTCACTATCAGTGAAGCAAGCCATCATTAGGCTGAAAAAACAAAACAAACTCATCAGAGAGATAGCAAAAACATTAGGCGTGGCCAAAACAACTGTTTGGAACATTCTTAAAATGAAGGAACTCACCGGAGAGCTCAGCAAAACCAAAAGACCCGGAAGACCACGGAAAACAACTGTGGTGGATGACCGAAGAATTCTTTCCCTGGTGAAGAAAACACCCTTCACAACAGTTGGCCAGATCAAGAACACTCTCCAGGAGGTAGGTGTATGTGTGCCAAAGTAAACAATCAAGAGAAGACTTCACCAGAGTGAATACAGAGGGTTCACCACAAGATGTAAACCATAGGTGAGCCTCAAAAACAGGAAGGCCAGATTAGAATTTGCCAAACATCATCTAAAAAAGCCTTCACAGTTCTGGAACAACATCCTATGGACAGATGAGACCAAGATCAACTTGTACCAGAGTGATGGGAAGAGAAGAGTATGGAGAAGGAAAGGAACTGCTCATGATCCTAAGCATACCACCTCATCAGTGAAGCATGGTGGTGGTAGTGTCATGGCGTGGGCATGTATGGCTGCCAATGGAACTGGTTTTCTTGTATTTATTGATGATGTGACTGCTGACAAAAGCAGCAGGATGAATTCTGAAGTGTTTCGGGCAATATTATCTGCTCATATTCAGCCAAATGCTTCAGAACTCATTGGACGTCGCTTCACAGTGCAGATGGACAATGACCCAAAGCAAACTGCAAAAGCAACCAAAGATTTTTTTTAAGGGAAAGAAGTGGAATGTTATGCAATGGCCAAGTCAATCACCTGACCTGAATCCGATTGAGCATGCATTTCACTTGCTGAAGACAAAACGGAAGGGAAAATGCCCCAAGAACAAGCAGGAACTGAAGACAGTTGCAGTAGAGGCCTGGCAGAGCATCACCAGGGATGAAACTCAGCGTCTGGTGATGTCTATGCATTCCAGATGCAGGCTGTAATTGACTGCAAAGAATTTGCAACCAAGTATTACAAAGTGAAATTTTGATTTATGATTATTATTCTGTCCCATTACTTTTGGTCCCTTAAGAAGTGGGAGGCACATATGCAAACTGTTGTAATTCCTACACCGTTCACTTGATTTTGATGTAAATACCCTCAAATTAAAGCTGACAGTCTGCAGTTAAAGCACATCTTGTTTGTTTCATTTCAAATCCATTGTGGTGGTATATAGAGCCAAAAATGTTAGAATTGTGTCGATGTCCCAATATTTATGGACCTGACTGTATATCATGTCATAATAAAGTTCACTGTCTCATGCTTCTGCTGCTATGTGTTTATCAATCAAGCTATGGAGAAAAAAAGAAAATGCAAATTCACAGCGCACAGAGTCTAAACGGTGGACATATTATGAGTTCCAAATATGGATGTAGTCTATCAAAGATTCCAGTATAGTGAATACTCAGGCTTTGCCATAAATTATATAATGCCAATAAAGATCACATGAAAGGCCAGAGATTATCATCCTTTACTCAGATTCATCAACATATATTTATATATCCATATAGTTCACAGAATCTTGACCATAAATGCAGCCACCAGGATGTATTATTATTCAATTGTATCCACTTTTTTAAAAATTATATAAAAAAAAAACAAACACCATGTCCTTGTGCTAGATAGGTAATGATCCTAATACTGCAAAGGAAGGCTTACATGCTGCTCTGGTGACTCCATGGTGTGTGGTTAAATCTAACGGGCAAAGAGAGATGGTGGCAGCCCTTGTCTACCTCCTCAGGCACTGTGTCTGCAGACAAGAAAAAAAGTAAAAAAATCGACCCAAAAGAGGGAGAACAAAATGCCCATGACATTGGATTGGTAGAAAAATCCTCTTTAGCAGAAGAGTGGCTGAGTGGCAGTAGAGTCAGTGGGGAGTTCCCGGAGGAAGGCTCTCCACCTTCCTGGAGACATGTGTTGAGTCTGTGCTAGTGACCTTGTGCCAAGGTGAGTGCCAAAGCAGGATCAACTGAAGTCAACCGACCTGGAAACTGCAGAAGCACAGTGACTGTGGTGCAGTCAGGAAAGGTTGATAGGAGAACCAATACATCTTCAAAAAAAAAAAAAAAAAAAAAATTCTCCATAAAAAAAGGGGTAAGCATTCTTTCAGTAGAGGGGAGAGTCATCAACTAAGGAAACGAGCCTTAAACTAGTTGGCAGTAGGAGGGGTTATATAGATGTTCCACAGCTTTCTTTTTTGCCAGTGTCTAACCATCTAAAAAGGTAGCCACATATGAGTCACGGTTAAAGACTAAAAATCCTGTGTCCTGTACTGTACAACTAACACAACTGCACACCAACATTCAGAGCGTCTATGTATAACAGAGAGTGATTTTTTTTTAAATTTTAATTGATCTAAACTTTAATAGAGACAGTCTTCAGACCACCCTGCACGTGCAGCTTCTGTCCTAAAACTAATTCTAGCAGCTATTTAGCAGCTGTATAATTTGAATCTCCAGTAGGTAAATGTCATTCTTGGCAACAGCTGACATTTGGAAAATGGGCTGGGCCAATGGAAACAGTAAAGAATTATGGAAACAAGAAAGAGGCAGAAAAAATATTTCAGATACAAAACAAAAAAAAGGGCAGCTTAGGCCGTATAGAGAGTGCAGCGCCACCGACCTGTCAACAAGCACAATCCATGGGAAGTGTAGGGAAGGAAGCAGATACTAATCCTTTTTATTAGGTAAATTTGGGGCATGCAAAATGCAGTGTAAATCTGGCACATTCAAAATGTCAACCACAATGTTACAACATGGTAATGTTCTCTCTGCTGAGTCTGGCTCCTCATACCTCCACTTTCCAGAAAAGAAATGCTAGGTATTTGCGGATACATAAGAGATATAAGAAACAAGTGGACAATTCAGCAGGGTATTGACCAATCCTCTCATTGTATTATCAATTTATGGCAATGAATCAAATTCAAACCTTCACTGTCTAACTGCCATTTTTAACTACTTGCTTCGATCTGAGTGGTTGTGGGAGTAACAGTAGATGGTTCTTCCCTTGTAAGGCTAACTGTTCATTGATAGGTTAACCTTAGGGAATACAGAATAGTTATTAGCTTTACAATGGAAAAAAACCCATCGATTTAAAGAAGAACTTTAGTCAGAAAATTAACTCTTGCTAGATCACTTCAGGCTGGCTCCTTTTGCAGGTATAGCCATGTAACATATTAAAAATAGTTGTCTATACGGTTTAAAATGTAGGAATAAAAGGTCTCACCCTGCTCTGCACATGCTCTCTATTTTTTGGCACTGTGCCAAATTTTTAGAGGCTGATCTGCTGACAGCCTAAAGATTTAATGCTGCTCAGAGGCTCTGGGCTTCAGCAAAAATGGCAGCCTCCAGCAAGAGGAAACAGAAAAATGCTGGAGGCAATGTACAGCACACACTAATTTTGGTAGTGGAGTTATTTATATGGAATGTATGTTCCTTGCGAAAGAACTTTTTTTTAATCAAGTTACTATGGGTAAAGTTTCACTTTTAAGCAAAACTAAAAGGTATCAATACTCTTTTTCCAATGGTTCCTCTCCAGCACCAGCATCTCCTGTGTGCTGGTTTCCGGCCATCTTAATTGACTGGCACGACATGACATCTCTCCTGCACATGAGCAGGAGCTAGTCACTCTGACGGATCAGGAGGGCCACTGTAAGCCGAGCTGTGTCTACATCACTATGTGGGAATCATTGTGACAGTTTTGCTCAAAATAGTTATGTTAAAAGGTATGGCATGAATGATAACTGTCACACTTATTTGTACTCTCAACTGAACCGCCAAGCCATCAAATGGCTGGTGTCAAAACTGATCACGTGTAGCCAAGGGCGGACTGACCATTTGGAAACTTGGGCATTGCAGTACAATGACAACTACAGATCAATCAGATGATAAGATGGCTGCTTCTTTGACTGTAAAGGATAGCAGGGTGTAGTTCTGCTTTAATGCAGAACAAAAAAAGAACTCTGAATATAAACTATCAGTAATGTTCTCAGAGAAAAACGATCATTAAAGCTTACATTTTGTCAGGGTTTAGTACTTCCTCCACGGACAGACAATGGCTGACTATTCTGAGGGAACACGGCTCCCCCACGGATTGCGTTTGGATGTGTTGGAGAGGCAGCTGGGTGCTGTCCAGGACGGATGGGTTTAGCTAAAAAGGAAAAATAATGGATTGTTAGTAGGTGAATCATTGTAAAAGTGAGGTAAGTTTTTACAACAGTCTCAGACATTTTAGATTGAACTTTGTCCTGTTAAAGGCCATCTAAACCCAAGAACTTAGAAATGCTATACTTTGTATTGATTGCTGGTGTGACTTATCAACTCTTTGACCTGTTATAAATATTTAGCTAGATATTTTGCATAGCACATGGCCATGTGAAGGGAGGAGGTTGTACTTTGATGCAGTTTGATTGTTTTAATATTGTAATAAAGCCTTTTCCATTTTAAATGTAGCTTTCTGGAGCCAATACAGGTAGGTCTTGTTTTTCAGATGGTACAATCTTTTGTTCACTAGTAAGCTTCAGACTTAGGATACACCATTTCTAAGTGCATTTACAATAGAAATATGTGGTATGCCATTGCTAGTCAGAAAATTCTAGTTGCTTATACTGACCTCAAAATGTTCGGACTGACCTTGAACAAGTTTCTAAATAGGAAAGTTGGTAAAAAGGTCTTCTCTGCATATTTGTTCTGGATCACAAATTGAAAAGTAAATAAAATACGTGGAACTGCTAGCTAGACAAGTATCTAGCTTTTTTAGAAGGAGAGGTTATCAATGCATGTTTTGTTTAGGACCAGTCCTTTTCATAAGTAAATGTGTGTCTGCACATATGTTTAGTCATCTTGTCTGAGTGCCAAGGTAGTTTTGAAACTGTGCTCTATAAACAAAATCTCTTCTGCAGAGAACGCCAAATTTAGGAAGCCCCCTAAATCGTTCCAGGACTCATTACTGATCATTGAGGCTGCCAGTCACTTAAAAAGGGACCAACAATGTGATCTATGAGCTTGACAGACTTTTTGCCAATGTGCAAGTTCTGTTTACAATGGTGACTCATGATTCCAAAGTTTGTTACATAGTTCCAATAATAGCAACAAGTATGTGCATTGTGTTTACCAATCTGTGCTGAATGTCCTCTTCTAGCCATGTTCTTGGACCTTACGGCCTCCTTGATGCGATCCACCTCTTGCTGATAGCGTTTCCTATCGCGGGATGCATTTTCTTTGGCTTCTTTTAGAGCAGACTCCAAGGCCTTAACTCGCTCAGCTGTAGCTCTAAGTCGTTTCTCCAGCTTTGGAAGCTCGCAGCGAAGATCTGCATTATCACGTACCAACTACAAAACAATAATAAAAAAAAAAATATATATAACACACACACCTACCTTCATTTTTACTGATTCGCATAATGCTATGGACAAATCAATTTAGGGGAAATGTTGCATACCTGTTTGTGGACTTTTGTGAGCTGCTCCAGGTTGTTCTCAAGAAAGGATATCTTTTGCTTCTGTGCAGCACTTCCCCCTGTGTCATCAGAGTCCATTTCTGCACTCTACAGAGAAAACACCCTGTTAAGTCATAGGGGGTCGCCAGAGCAAAGGACTATGTAAAGACATTACATATAGCAGACTGAGACATACCTTTTTCACTCTAGTAGTCAAATCTTGAACAAACAGCTTCCTGAGATTGTGCAGTGTTTGAAGCTCTTTTGCCTACAATAATACATGAGTACATGATTGGTTTTTTTTTTTTTTTTTTTTTTTTTTTTAAAAAAAAACAAAAACACAAGTAGTAGAATGAAACAGCAACGTATGTATTCATTGAAAGATTTACTCACCACTGTCTCTTCCAGTCCCTTCAGATCCTGCCGTGCTTGTTCTCTTCTATCTTGCATCACCCTGAGGAAATGGTGCAGCACATTAGAAAAACTGGCAATCACCAAGGAAAAGGTCTGAATGTGGACCGAGAGAACTGCATTTAGGTATTGCAAGGTATCAAGACGCACATAGAATTTTAACCCTTCAATAAACCCAACAACTGTTCACTTTTCTTAGCACATTTGTACCTATCCCAGATGAGGCAAGTTGTGGAAAAAAAGTATCTGGACAGTTTACAGGCCTGGGGTGTGTGCCAGCCACACTCACATAACTATTAGAATTCTTTTTGTAACCAATTTTAAAGGCTAAAAAAATTCTAACGTTTAGAAGGAGCCATTTATTTTTTCCAGTCACTTAATCCTGAACAGAAGGCAGAAAAAACTCACTGCCACAGACCTCCTCTTCCCAAGTACCCCAGGACCTGTTGGGGACTAAAAATCACACCAGTATATTCTGGGTCCACCCCATAAGGGAAAATCTGTAAAATCCCCAAACCACTTTAGTCGGTGCCTCTCTCAAACTGCCACTCCACTTATCCTATCATAAGTGAATCTCAGTTTTTGATCTACAAAGATGCAGGTATATTAGACTGGTCTTCTTCTGCTGCAGAAGAGTGTGGAATGTTTACCAAGCATTCTAGGTAAAGGAGAAGTACTACTCCCAATATTATCTTAAAGTTGACCTTCACCCAAAGAGACATTTCCACTTATTTGCATTCTAACCTCCTCCTCCTCAACATCTGGCACTTTTTTAGGGGGGGGGGGGGGGGGGGTAGAGTCTCTGGTTTGACAGGTACCCACTCCCACCTCTGATCAGATCGCCTCAGCTATCCGAGCAGAAGTTGGCCCCCCTTCTTTCCCCATAGCCTTCTGGGACTTGTCACAGGTCCCAGAAGGCTGCTGATCATTCACAAAATACAGCGTGGCTCATGCATGTGCACTGGGAAACAGTCTGTGAAGCCGCAAGGCTTCACTGCTGGTTTTCCTTAGTTAAGATGCCGGCTCCTGGACCCTAAGCGGATTGAAGAATCGGCTCGGGTAAGGACAGCGCTGGATATCTGGACAAGTAAATGTCCTTATATTAAAAGTTAGCAGCTACAGGATATGTAGCTGCTGACTTAATTTTTTTTGGGGGGGGGGGGGAAACCACTGGAGAACCACTTCAAGCAATCCCAAACAGCCATTATATCTGAACACTTCACTGCAAACATCTTATTTCAGGCATCATTTGCAGAATCTGAAAATCAACTATGTACTACCCATCCCTAAAGCCTAGTACACACTATGAAATATCAGACGACTAATCCTCCAATTCTCCACAAAGGTGCATATCACGATGTAACCAACAATGGTATTAACGTATATGAAAATTCCTGGCCTACGTTGGCAAACATTCTTTCTTGCGTACAATTTCTATTTTCGTTGCCACCTTCTTCCGGGTCTATCTCTGCTTCTGATCATACGCGTTTTTTCTATTTGATTTCCATGCTACATTGAGTGAAAATCAGAAGTTGTGTTCACGTATGATAAAAAATTTCTAGCTTGCACTTTCGATTTCTTTTCCCCATCCGACCAGTCAGAATCGGCTGTCAAAAGCACTATACTTACCAGCAGATAATCGACCAATCGTTCCTCGTACGGAAATCTTCGTACAATTTTCTTATGTGTATGGGACTTCACACATCAGTGTACTTGATGAAAAAAATATCTGCAGGATACTGATTGCTTTACTTAACATCTACTTACGTGAGGTCATGGAGTTTCTTACTCTTCTCCTGGTCTGCATATTTTAGTTTTTCATGCTCCACTCGAAGTCGTTCCTGCTCCAGCATCATCTTCTGGTTTTGGCTGCAAGAAACAATGGAAACTTATTAAAATAATTAGTATTGTCCATGTTTTGTTAACATATTTCAATATATCAATTTAAATTAGCACTTGTTATATATGCGCTAAACAGCATATCACAATACAGTTCGATGCACTGTGACCGAAGGGTGGTATGACACTTCACCCAGGTCAGCAGGAGAGTACACAGTGATGTGTTCTTCCAGGATTACCCATGGATGGAGTGACATCCCTATACATACTGGAAATGGATGGATTGACATCCCTATACATACTGGAAATGGATGGAGTGACATCCCTATACATACTGGAAATGGAAGGAGTGACATCCCTATACATACTGGAAATGGATGGAGTGCCATCCCTATACATACTGGAAATGGATGGAGTGCCATCCCTATACATACTGGAAATGGATGGAGTGCCATCCCTATACATACTGGAAATGGATGGAGTGACATCCATATACATACTGGAAATGGATGGACATCCCTATACATACTGGAAATGGATGAGTGACATCCCTATACATACTGGAAATGGATGGACATCCCTATACATACTGGAAATGGATGGGACATCCCTATACATATGGAAATGGATGGACATCCCCTATACATACTGGAAATGGATGGACATCCCTATACATACTGGAAAATGGATGGACATCCCTATACATACTGGAAATGGATGGAGTGACATCCCTATACATACTGGAAATGGATGGACATCCCTATACATATGGAATGGAAAATGGATGGACATCCCTATACATACTGGATGGACATCCCTATACATACTGGAAATGGATGGAGTGACATCCTATACATATACATATGGATGGACATCCCTATACAATGGAAATGGAGATGGACATCCCTATACATACTGGAAATGGATAGAGTGACATCCCTATACATACTGGAAATGGATAGAGATGGACATCCCTATACATACTGGAAATGGATGGAGTGACATCCCTATACATAGGAAATGGATGGAGTGACATCCCTATACATACTGGAAATGGATATGGATGGAGTGACATCCCTATACATACTGGAAATGGATGGAGTGACATCCCTATACATACTGGAAATGGATAGAGTGACATCCCTATACATACTGGAAATGGATGGAGTGACACCCCTATACATACTGGAAATGGATGGAGTGACATCCCTATACATACTGGAAATGGATGGAGTGACATCCCTATACATACTGGAAATGGATGGATAGAGTGACATCCCTACATACTGGAAACTGGAATATGGAAATGGATGGACATCCCTATACATACTGGAAATGGATAGATGGACATCCCTATACATACTGGAAATGGATGGAGTGACATCCCTATACATACTGGAAATGGATGGAGTGACATCCCTATACATACTGGAAATGCCTACTTAACCCTTTTCTCATACATAATACACCTGAAAAAAAAAGAAATATTCTTAACATACATGTAGGGCATACAGTTTAGAAAAGTTGTAATTTTAACTTTTCTAAACCGACACTACAGAGAGAGAACAAACTCCAGGTATCAGTAAACACTACCAGTTTCTTAAAAGATTGCTGCAAAGCATCAGTACATCAAAATGATGAGTTTAATTCACAAAGAAACCTCGGTGTACATTCTAGGAGTACACATTTTCATATTTAATTTTAACAGTTAAGCTAAAAGTAATATTTTATGCAACTTTTCCATTTTTATAAGCTTGTCATTCCATATTTTCACGAATTAATTTTATACAGAGTTCCATAGATTCTCCCCCTTGTATGTCTGGAGTGCGATTAGCTGCCCTGCTCAATAATTGCAGAGTTAAAAATGTTGGCCGCATGAAAACGCATGAGTTGGTTGAACTTTACTGAGCAATGCTATTTATAGCGAAGAGGTCCATTCCATGGGATATGAATTTATTAACATCTGATGGATTTTCGAAACACTGAATTAACAGAATGAGATGGTGTTTAGAGATCTTTGCGGCTTTATGATTTAACCATTTCCCGTCTGCCCTATATCAGAAGGACTGCAACACAGCGGCACGGGTGTGCAAAATCACATGTATATATACGTGATTTCACAGTTCTGGGTAGGGGGCGCATGCACGCCCTACCAGCACCGCCGGTCGAAACCTCGGCTGTCAATCATCAGGTCCCGGCTGGTGATTACTTATCGGCGCCCGGTGAATGCCGATCATCTTTCACGGGGGGGTAAGAACAGTTTGTAAACAATACAGTTCTCCTCCTGCATAGCACAGTCATAAAAAGCAGTGTGCTTGCTGTGAAGCACACACACAGAACACCATGTATAATGGCACACACACCACACAGTTAACCCTTTGATCGCCCTCATGTTAACCCCTTCCTGCCCAGTGCCATTAGTACAGTGTCAATGCTTTTTATTAGCACTGATTACTGTATTGGTGTCACTAGGGATGTCAGTGACACCAAGTCAGTTCCCCCCCAGTGTCAGAATGCCCGCTGCAGTCCTGCTATAAGTCTCTGATTACCGCCATTACTAGTAAAAATTTAAAAACAAAATTCCAATATATAGACTGCCATTTGTAAATTTCACGTAAACCAATTAATATACACGTATTGGGTTTTTTTTTTTTTTTTTTTTTTTTTTTTTAGCAAAGTCATGTAGCAGAATACAATTTAGCATAAATTTATGACGAAATTAGATTTTTACAATTTTTTTACTAGATATTTTTTATAGCAAAAAGTCAAAAATATTGTTTTTTTTTCTAAAAATTGTCAGACTTTTTTTTAAAAAATTTATAGCGCAAAGAATAAAACCGCAAAAGGAAATCAAATGCCACCGAAAGAAATCTCTATTTGTAGGAAAAAAGGACAAATTTCATTTGGGTGCAGCGTTGCATGACTGCGCAAGTGTCAGTTAAAGTAACTCAAAAAATGGCCTAGTCAGGAAGGGGGGTAAATCATCTGGAGGGCAGTGGTTAAAAGGAAAAGTGTGGAAGTAAAAAAAATAAAACATACACTCTCACCTATATAGCTGCAGCTGTGCTGCTGGCTCTATGCAAGAGATCTGAGTGGTTACATAACCACTGATCGCTCATTTCTCGGGCCCCCTCTGGACTGTCAGTCACCAATCTGCGATTTGCCCCTCCGGCACAGGAGCACCGGGGCTGTGTAGGGGGCGGGACCAGCTGCCTCAGGCTCTCAGAGGCGCATGAAGAAAGGCTGAGCCAGCTGCCTGTAAGGTATCTGAGTGGATCTCAACATTGTCAGGATACATCCAGAATTTGCAGCGGCTCTGTGACATCACCCAATTGCAGACTGTAGCCCACTGTTGGCTGGTTCTTGGTCACGGGAGAGCAAAAAAGTAAGTGCACTCCTCTGACCCACATGAGAACTATGACCAAACAAGTTTTAGCCATACATTTGCTGCAGTTATTGGTTGCAGTCGTAAAATGTACAGTAAGTTATATTTTCGTCTTGCTTGCAATTAGTCTGAGCACACGAATAGATCAACACTGAGAAAGTGGAAGATTTAAGTACTACAAAATACAGGGAGCACATCATTTATAAGCAATAGAAAAACAAGTCTGTTCAAAGACCATATATACAGCGAGTAAAATAAGCATTGAACACGTCACTATTTTACTCAGTAAATAGATTTCTAAAGGTGCTACTGACATGAAATTTAGACACCTTCTGTATGAACTAGTCAAATGCATTGCTCAGGCGTGATTCTGGCCCATTATTTCACACAGTCTTCAAATCTTGAAGGTTCCGTGGGCCTCTTCTATGAAATCTGATCTTCAGTTCTTTCCATTGATTTTCTATTGGTTTCAAGTCAGGTGATTGGCTGGGCCATTCTAGCAGCTTTAGTTCCTTTTCTTTTAAGCCAATTGAGAGTTTCCTTGGCTTTGTGTTTGGGATCATTGTCTTGCAGAAATATCCACCCTCATTTCATCTTCATCATCCTGGTAGATGGCACCAGAGTTTTATCAAGAATGTCTTGGTCCATTTTTCCATTCATTCTTCCTTCAATGATATGAAGTTTGCCAGTACCGTATGCTGAAAAACCGCCCCACACCATGATGTTCCCACCTTCAAACTTCACTGTCGGTATGGTGTTTTTGGGGTGATGTGCAGTGCCATTTGACCTCCAAACATGGTGTGTATTATGTCATCTAAAGAGTTCAATTTTGGTTTCATCTAACCAGACTATATTCTCCCAGTATATCACAGGCTTGTCGAAATGTTTTGCAGCAAACCTTAAATGAGCTTCAACATGCTGTTTCTTCAGCAATGGAGTTGTGTGGTGAGTGTGCATACAGGCCATGGCGGTTGAGTGCATTACTTATTGTTTTCTTTGACACAATTTTACTGGCTAATTCCAGTTCTCTCTGAAGCTCTCCACAAGTGGTCCTTGGCTCCTGGACAACTCTTCTGATAATTCTTTTCACTCTGTTAGAAACCTTGTAAGGAGCACCTGTTCGTTGCCAGTTTATGGAGAAATTATGTTCTTTCCACCTCCTGATTACTGCCCCAACAGTGCTCACTGGAACATTCAGAAGTTTATAAATCCTTCTGTAACCAATGCCATCAGCATGTTTTGTAACAATAAGGTTGCAAAGGCCACGAGAGAGCTCTTTGCTTTTACACATCATGAGATGTTTCTTGTGTGACATCTTGGTAAAGAGACAGCTTTTTATAGGACATCAGTTGAGACTGAACCAGCTGATATTAACTTAACTTGCACTGACAAGGGGCAGGATTGCTTTATAATTACTGATAGGTTTCAGCTGGTGTCTTGGCTTTCCATGCCTTTTTGCACCTCCCTTTCTTCATGTGTTCAATACTTTTTCCCTCTGTCGTTCCATTTTATTACACATAACTTAAATTTTGAACTTATTTGTTTTTAATATCAATAGCACCATTACAAATATATTTACTGAGTAAAATAGTGATGTGTTCAATATTTATTTTATCTGCTGTAATTTAAGATGATGCTTGGAAACAAGATGTGTATCTTACAAAAAAAAAAAAAAAAAAAAAAAAGACTTATATTACAGGTTCCCATTTGCTTAACCAGGAACAGAGCAAAGTGAAATGATTTCTCCAGGAGGATCTGGTCAGTCACAGAGTAGTTATTATAATACAGGATTTATAAAGCGCCAACAGTTTGTGCAGCAATTTACAATAGAAAGGGGGACAGTACAATTACACTACACAATTCAATACAGAAGGAATAGGAGGGCCCTGCTCATAGAGCTTACAATCTAAAGGAAGTGGGAGGTGGTATAAAAGTTGATAGCTGCAGGAGATGATCTGATGGAGGTGACTCAGGTACAGTTCTTAGGTGGTGGTGGGGTAGGCTTCCCTGAATAAGTGAGTTTTCAAAGAACACCTAAAGGTGAACAGGGTGGGGGCTGACTGACATACTGGGGTAGGGAGTTCCAGAGGATGGGAGAGGTTCTGAAGGAAAGCATGGGAGGAGGAGATGGAGGGAGCTACAGAGCAATATGTCTTGGGAGGAGCAGAGCAGACGATTTGGATGATATCTGCAGATGAGGTTGGTGATGTAGCAATGTTGTGGATGGCTTTGTACGTAATTGGTTAGTATTCTGAATTTTATCCGTTGGGCTAGGGGAAGCCAGCGAAGGGATTGGCACAGAGGGGCAGCAGTCGCTGATCGATTGGTAATAGGGTAGCTAAAACAGAACACAAATTACACAGGCTCTGTGGCTTATTGAGGTAATTTAACTCACTAAGTGCCTTATCTGTAATACATTAGCCTCAGAACCTTTGTAATTAATGTGTTCCGTTTTAAAACAGATGAGGTAGCTACCCTATTACCAACCGATCAGCGACTGCTGCCTCTCTGTGCCAATCCCTTCACTGGCTTACCCTAGCCCAACGGATAAAATTCAATATACTAACCAATTACTGTGATGAGGTGGCAACCCTAATTGGTAAGGTGTATAAGTCTAGCAGTAACATTCATAACAGACTGAAGGGGGAATAGCCTGTATAAAGGTAGGCCAGTGAGGAGGGAGTTGCAGTAACCAAGGCGTGGGTAAGTTGTTTTGTGGTGCTGTTAGTCAGGAAATGGCGAATTCTGGAAATGTTGTGGAGGTTGAGGCGGCAGGATTGAGCCAGTGATTGAATGTAGGACCCAAAGGAGAGGTCAGAGTCTAGGATTACACCTAGTACCCTGGCATGTGGGGAAGGACCAATGATTGTGCTGTTGATCTTGATGAAAAAGTTATGAGTGGGGGATTGGGGGGGAGGAAATATTACAAGCTGTTCTAGAAAGACTGAGTTTGAGGAAGTGGTGTGACATCCATACTGATATGTCGCTCAGCAGATTTGTGATACATGAGGAGACTGGGGGTGAGCTGGGGTGTAGAGAGATCTGAGTGTCGTCAGTGTACAAGTGGTACTGGAAGCCATGGGAGGTTATCAATTGGCCCAGGGAGGAGGTGTAGAGAGAGAAAAGGAGGGGCCCAAGGAGAGAACCTTGGGTTACCCCAACAGGAAGAGGAGCACTTACTCTTGAAGGTCTGTGATCAGCTTCTCCTTGTTCTCAATCTCATCTCTCAGACTGCTCAGCTGTTTCTGGTGGCTTTCCCGATGACTCTGAATCTGCTGCTCCACAGCATGCTAAGTGCGGAAAAAAACACTTTCATCAATTATGTTATAAATACGTTTTGTTTAAATAAAACTTCACATTTAGTCAAAAAGTAGCCTAAAAGGCTCATCAACATACCTTAACTTCATTGGCAGTCTGTACTTTATTTAAGTGCTCCTTCTCCATTTCATGAACTTTTTCTAGAAAATAATAATAATAAAAAAAAAAAAAAATATTCAATAGAATTCAGTGATATCCCCTGGATTTCAGCTGGAGCTGACATAAGCAAGCTCTTTGCCTATCATCCCAACATCAGTTCACTACTTAACTACTTAGAGGGTCACTTATCTGGAACAAGCATGCAGTTTGAAAACCTGAACTTCAGTCCAATGTGCTTGCTGTAGGTCATCGATTCACTGAATAGTGAACCAAATTTTGGGATGATAGCCCAGGTGATGGCTTCTACAGTCAGCAATGGCAGCTCCCTTGTTGTTGTTCTGTTTGCTTATAATGGTAAGAATGTACATAACATGTTTGAAAAGCTCTGAAAGCGGATATACCCCCCTAAAGGTATTTTGGCAAAGTGTAATTAAGCCCTAAGCCAGGAGTGTAAAAACTGCGGCCCCAGAGAGTTTAGCATGCGGCCCAGGTCCGTCTGGAGAGACGCTGAGGATCCCATGAAGGAACAGCAGCCACAGCGGCCGACAGGCAGCCTATGCACTGCTGTAGGGATGCTGTGCAAGCCTAGCAGTCGCGGCGGCCTACATTGAAAAGCCAGGAAAATGCACAACTGAAGGGATGCCAGGGCTCCCATTTTTGCAATAACACTGGCAGCAGGGAATACAGGGGCGCCAGGTAAGTGAATGCTGTATGGCCAGATCTAAAAAGGATAGGCGAGGCTGCCAACCCTGTTCACTATGACGACAGTTCGCCAGCAAGGGCACCTATTCAAGGCTATCTACACAGGCAGCAATCACCTGTGGTAATCACTGCTGGATGCACTTTATCTGCATCCAGTAGCGATCATTGCAGGTAACAGTATGTGTATGTAAGAATGTGAGTTAGGGACCTTAGACTGTACATCCCTTGAGGGTTAGGGACTGATGTGAATGTACAATATATATGTAAAGCGCTGCGTAAATTGACGGCTATATAAGTACCTGAAATAAATAAATAATGCCTAACACAGGCAAAAAGAATTTTAGCTTTGGAAAGGGGGGGAAGAGTTCAAGTATCTGTAAACTTTTAAATCCCCCCCCCCCCCCCCCCCCCGAGGGAGATTTTTTCCTCACCACCCATACAAGAAATTGAAAAGGGGGAGGGGTTGTGACCACTGCTAGATCACAGCCATTGTTAACTGGAACTAAGCACAATGGCTGTGACCTAGCACAACTAATGTTAAAGCCTGCCACGGCCTAGCTTTCAGAATCAGTGCATAAACATCATTGAGAAAAATGCTGCAAAGGTGTGCTGTGCCCTGAAACTAGCACAGCTCATTATTAGTAGGGCAATGGCAGCTTCCAGGATAGGGGTCCTGTGATGTTCATTAAGTTCTCTTTAATGCACTTTAAAGTTCAAATGCAAGCAGGTTTATGCCGAAATCTAAAAAGGCATGAATACAAATAATTAGCATACCCAGCCACACTGAAAATGATTTACCTGCCCACTTTGCCCCTCCCTGTTCTATTAAAATTCTTAGCAGGTTTTCTCGACTATCTGGTCTGAGGAGTTTCTAATGACTTTCTGAGATGGTTTATACAACTTAACACTGTATACAGCCCCACCCTGTGCCCGTAGCTTGACAAGCTCCTCATTCAGCGAGTCTACAGATTCTTCCAACTGCCTCTTCTTCTGCTCCACATTCTGTACATACTCTGTCAGGGACTTGATCTTTGCTTCATGCTATAAACAAACAAAAATTAAATAGTCATAATATAATCTAAAGCAATGCAATAACATATGTATCACATAGCTACATTAAATGCTGCAGGTAACCTAGACTACAATATGTCACAATAGGTAGTTTTTCTTTAAGGACAACTTTGCTCAATGCTGATAATTCAGTTTTCTACACAACTGCTGGCATGTTATATCACAACCTGGCTTACAGTTAAGAGACTACAGTAGTGAAATACCCAGAAGAACGGTCCACAACATAAATTAGTACTAGGAGACCATTCATGAGAATAAGCCATTCATTACAGCTTCCTGGAAGACAAAGTACTATATAAAAATCAGGTTAGCAAACAAGCACGGAAAGTCTCCTTGTGTTGCTTCTTTCTCCCAGTCTGAGCTCTGTTGTACAGGGAATTGACACCAGGTAAGATTTGGGTCCTTACACTGCTTGCATTAAAAATATACATTCAAAAAGGTATTAATAGATTGTAGATTTATTAAGCAGCTGCAGTAATTTGTGTCCTATAATTATACCTATATTATTTATAGGTAAAGTTGATCCAGGGAATATCTAATTGCTAGGAATTGTTTCCCCCGCTGGAGCAAATTGGTTCAAGCTTTTATTAGGGTTTTCGGCTTTCTCTGGATCAACTGTGGGTATGGGATTGTGTATATAGGATTGTATATATTTTATTTTCCCTTTTAATGGCTGAACTAGAAGGACATGTATCTTTTTTTTTAACTATGTAACCATATGTCTTTTATAAATGCCTAGAGCTCTGCTTTAAGAAAGCCATAAGTGACAGTGTTCATGCCTCAGCTGGAGTTTTAATACTTGGCCTCTTCTAACAAGTCATGGTACACTATACCTTTTTATGCATGTGTCTCACCTGTGAGATGCGGAGCTGACATGCAGCAAGCTCTCTCTCATTCTCATCGATTTTCTTATTGCTGTCAGTCTGGGTGCCCTCCAGCTGCTTGCAGCGCTTCACCATGCTCTTCACCTCAGATTTCATTTTGCTGATGTACAGTCTGGCCACGGTGAACTCTTCATCAATCATGCCACTCACTTCAGGTTGCTAGCAGGAAAAAGCAGGATGTGAGACACTTGCCTATCACTTGGCAGAGGTCACTCAGTTTTGGATAAACGGACCAACAAGCAGCTTTCATGACTCTGCCTGCTGACAGCCAGTCAAGTGAAAATCAATGTGTGCACTGGTCACCTCAATTAAACCAAAACGCAGATTAAAAGCATCAATACAAACAAAATCATTGAATTGGCACAGCCTGCACCGCAAGAGGAACCTCCCCTCCCTCCACCAGAGCTCAGCTTGAATACATTCAAGCAGTTCAAGAAAAAATGCAAATACAGAACTTCATATTTCCTTGTAGCCACTTGACATGATAAAGACGCCTGTCCAACTTTTCTGATTGGGGACTGAGAACACCATCAACAGTCCCAGGACAAGGGCTGTCTTAGCGAACATGAAACTGGACCTTAAAAAGCTGACCTAGAATCTTAAACTTTTTAAAATAGTTGCATCGTATAAGAATGTGTTTGTGTAAAAAATGCACTTTCCCCTATTGCACTAATAACTGAAATCCCATTTTCTTCTGCTGGTCACTGGTTCAATGTTAAGGCACTGGGTATACAGTCTCTGCTAAAGGCTCCTGGAGGACTGATGTTCAAGCAGAGACAAATGTCGGGGCTTTCACATTAACAGAGCCCTGGTCAAGAGACACATCACTGGAGATAAACTGCATTTTCTTGTATACCATTGAGAACATCCTCACAAGTTGCATCTTCATGTGGTACAACAGCTGCACTGCTTCAGACCGCAAAACCCTTCAGAGGGTGGTGAAAATCACCCAACGAATTATTGGTGTTCAGCTTTCCACCTTGGAGGACATTTTAAAAAAAACGCTGCGTAAAAATGGCGAGGGGCATCATTAATGATGCCTCTCACCCTAACCATGGACTGTTCATACTCCTTCCATCGGGCAAACGATATAGGTGTCTCAAGGCCCATACAAATAGACTGAAAAATAGTTTTTTCCCTGTGGCTGTTAAAGCATTGAACAGCTAATCAGACAATATTGCATTACTGTATATTTTATTCACCATTGCATTACTGAATATTTAATCCATTAATGCACTACTCATTGCACAGATTATGGTATTACTGTATATCCCATACCCCGATTTTTATTATATTTATTGTAAATGGGCCATTTATGCACCTCTGACTGGATGCTAACTGAATTTCATTGGCTCTGTACATGTACTCTGCACAATGACAATAAAGTTAAATCTAATATTTATTTAAAAAAAAAAAAAAAAAAAAAAAAAAAAGGAGAAGAGCAGAGCACTGCCTGTTTCCTACCAGTCAGTGGAGGTTTTTCACACCAACTTTTACACCTTCAGCGGGCATGTTCCACCTCCCTGCCTGCTCTCATCCTCATTGTTCACTCCCTCTACCAGCACTTATTTACAGTACAGCATGACCTGTTATCAATCAGCAGTATATCTGTAACAAAATTCTTAAACATGGTGACATTTAGGCCTTTTAAATACAGATTTGTCTTTGCACTTCCTGGAGAAAATGCTATACACTAGTCTAGTAGACGTTTGTTAAATTGTTTTAAGAATGTTCACTTGTTTTTCTAATCATTAGCGGAGTCAAAGCACATTAGTTATGTGAACAGATTTTGCTTTTTTGCAAAAAATTAAAAAAAAAAAAAAAAAAAAAATACATTTTAAACCTGAAGATTTAAAACCCCCAAAACATTTTCTGAAAGCAGAGACCCTGGAGAATGAAGTAGGGGGAGCTTCAAATTTTTTTTTATTATTATATTCCAAATTGATTTGTAGATAAATCCAGTATTATATTCCAAATTGATTTGTAGATAATCCAGTGTAGACTTTATACAATCTTCGTGAACCTCAAAACTAAAAAAAAAACTTAAGATAGTGTATTACCCTTTGACTTATGAAAAATCAAGTGTATCATGCGAAATCCATAACGTGCACACTACACACGTGAGAGAAGAAAAAAAAAAATTATAAAATAAATAATAAATATAATTAATTTATAAAATAATGTATTTTATATTCCTAGTAGTGAAGATAACAAATCCCCAAAAACAAACAAAACTACACGTGATAACCTCCACGTACTAAAGGCTAATAGTGAACACTTCAAACAAAGTGGCAAATCAGGTACTCTGGCCTGCGGGGCGGGCCTGATGGTGGCATTGTTGGACGTCATGGAGAAGTCAGTGGGGGGTTGTGTGCGGGCTGGGGGGAAGACTAGGAGCTCGGTTTTGGAGAGGTTCAGTTTAAGGAAGTGGAGCGACATCCAGTCTGATATGTCCTTCAGTAGGTTTGTGATTCAGGCGGAGACTGAGGGGGTGAGGTGGGGGGGTCGAGAGATAGATTATTCGGCATAGAGGTGGTAGTTGAAACCGTGAGAGTGTATGAATTGGCCAAGGGAGGAGGTGTAGATGGAGAAGAGAAGGGGCCCAAGGTCAGAGCCTTGAGGGACCCCCAACAGAGAGGGGAGGTGGTAGCGTTATAGGTAACGCTGAAGGAGCGTTGTGATAGGTAGGACGAGAGCCAGGAGAGAGCGGAATCTCTGAGGCCGAGGGAGTGTAGTTTTTTTGAGGAGGAGGGGGGGTGGTCGACTGTGTTGAAAGCCGCGGAAAGGTCGAGGAGTAGGAGCACTGAATAGTGGCCATTAGCTTTGGCGGTTAGCAGGTCGTTGGAGATTAAAAATGAGAAATACTAAACCCATCCTTCGTCTCAATATGAAAAATAAAAAAAAACTGTTAACTTGATTCAAGCTAAAAACCACAGATGGCTGTGTTATCTTAGGACAAGTCAATATTCCCCAATAGGAAGTGTCTGATGTGTACCCCAATAAACAAAACAAATTTTTCTATTGGAAAAAAAAAATGATTTTGACAGACTTGCATCAACAGAAAACACTTTACAAAGAAGTTCAAACACTTATCAGTGTATAAAGCACTCCAAATGGGTACAAGCAAACATTTCTCTATTCTTTATAAAAGCATAAGCCACATTAATTCTAGACTGTCTGTATTAAGTATACCTAAGGAACATTTCCAAAATGAGAAAATTAGTTAAGTGACGATGTATCAGAGACAGGAGAGGCCTGCAAAAAGCATACTGAGAACAGGAAGGTTTGCATTATTAATATATACTAAATATATTCATGAAGAAAGGCAGATGTAGAAAGTGGACAAGTTACCTTTGAATCATTATTTCCTACTGCGATACCAATTTCAGCAAGATCTTTAAGTAAAGAGGTCATCATTTCTGTAGCTCTTTTCTTTTGATGGTTGGTCATTTCTTTAAGTTTTTGCAGTTCAGAGTCTAAGCTGCTAAGAACAGCCTAAACAAAAAAACAGAAAAGGTCAACTTGGGGAGCCTGATCACAATGCAATAAATTAGTGGACAGCAAGTGAGCCAGGAATTGACACATCCACAGAACAAGTTGTCAAATGTGCTTAGACAAGTACAAGATGACTCAACTTTGGCTCTCCATTTTTGTCATTGGAAGCACAGATTTCCTAGAATCTTAATACCTACTGGCTTCTTTAAACAACTTAAAGGATATGCCCCTAAACAGAATGCAGGTCATTATACTACTATACATGTAGCACGCTTGTTGCCCCCCATTTTTTTTCGTATCTATGCATTTGGTGAGATCACTTGCCACTCGTAAACACACACCCCATGAATTCTCTAACTTTAGAAACCATAAAGTACTTTGGATTCTCTAAATCCTTTTAATCTGCTTTGCAACTTGGAAATCATAGAACTTTTAAGAAATTACACCTTGTGCTAATGGCAAATGTTCTTAAAGTAACTAAAAAGGGGCTGAATTGCAATTAAATTAAAATGTGTTCTTCCCTTTAGGTTGCTACATTTTCTTTCATTTCTGAATATCCAAGAAAAAAAAAAAAAAAGGAACATGCGTGATTTGGAGACCCTCAATGTAATAAAAATATAGTCCCCATCTCCCTGACACCGTCTCGTGCATACATACATAGTTATTACAATTACGGTTACTGGTAGACAAGCAACAAGTACAGTCTGTAAAAATTAACCCAATGGGAGCTGCAGAACTGGTTGGGAACACCTTAATGGGGGAAATATAGAGGAAATTCCTGCTAAAACATGTTAATTTAACTACAAATATCATTTAACTCAACCTTGATAAACCAAGACACACTCTGAACCTCACCGATTTCTGACTAAGCTCTTCACTAAGAATCTCGTATTCTTTAGCTTTGTCTTCTACTTCCTGTGACTTCTGATCATAGTTGACAGCCAGTTCCTCAAGGGCCTGAAGGACTTCCTTCACTTCCTCTTTGGAGGCATCATTTTCAGCTTGTAGGCGGTTTAATTCAGCCTGCATGTTATCCTGATCCCGCCTTGTGGAGGCCAGCAGCTAAGAGAAACATTTTTTTAAAAAGAGAATACAAAAACATGAAATTCATGACAATCCGGTAAATCGTTAGCATTATTTGACATATGTAAGAACAATCTTACAAGAAAGAGGAGAGAGAGCGAGAAAGAAAGATGTATGATGGGACATTAGCAGAAAGGTTAAAGCAAAGGTCCCGGTTTCCTGTCACTTTAGATATTTTGTTTGGGCCAAGCTGAGGTGGTGGAGATCATAAAAACATTTACCCGCTTCACCAGAGGAAGCCTTGTATTAATTGATAAAAATACAAGGCTTTCTCTGAATGGTAGAAAAGCACCATTTGTTCCTACAGTAGTGCATACTGTAAGTAGCTGATATTAATCTGGTATGATACAGCACACACAGCCATCAAATAACTTAAAGATCTCCATGTTCCTGTACACTGCTTACCTCTTCTTGATCCAACATCTGTTGCTTCAGTTTTTCTACTAACTGACTCTGCTGATTGATCTCTTCATCCTAAAAGTTAAAAACAAAAAAATGTTTATATGAAGATGCTGTAAGAAAAGAGATTTTTTTTTCCTAAACACGGCAGCCAGTAGCTAGAATGTCAGCCAGCTTAACAGCTTTAATAATCAGAAATTAATAAAGGGACTACTGTAGACAGGAGAAGTTCATTGATATTCTTGGAGCCATAAAAAAAATAAATAAATGAAGAAACAACTCTCCAACACCTGCGCAAACTAAACAGAATACAGAGCTTCTGTACACCACAAAGCCATGTAATACGAAAGGCAAGATACAATCTAAGTTTCTTTCCAGATCAAGGAGACTCCTGCAATATTCTACAAATAGGACATTATAATTGCAGTTGGTTGTATTTATATATTGACAATGACCTTTAAAACTGATGAAACTAAGTTAAAGCAAATTAGCCATGACAGAAAAATCAATGAAACATGGGCATCCTGTAAAAATAGTTTAAGACATCATTCATGTGGGAAAAAAGTGCCCTCCTGCGGATTTCTGCTTCAAATACACTGCAGATACTTGCAGCCAGAATGCTAGCTGTTCCGATCAGCGGCAGCTGCTCAGCCCAACTAACTGAATGCATGGCAGGCTGACAGCATCTACTGGCATGTATCTGTATATCTAGTGATCACCTGCTGTTGCAGACAGATGTCTGTCCCAAACATAGATAGATTGCCTTCAGGGGTGGACATCTGTCTTTAATCACAAGTAACCACTCGATGTGCAGTTGTACAGGTCGAGCTGCCGCTGGCTGGAACACCTGGAATCCAGGCCGCAAGTATTTGCATTACACTTGTCACAGAAATCCATCGGAGGGCATTTTTTGACCATGTGAACAAGACTTAATATTGACCTTCTCAGCAAGTAGCAAATCAAATCTTTGTTCTCTTGAAGGGATACAGGTGTCGCAGTTATCCATCACTTCCAGGTGTGTTGGATAGCATATCTCCCATTGGACCCTGTGGTTCTTGCTGCTGACTCCTGCATCACTACAGTGCTTTAACAACCCCGATACAGATTTGTGCTGCACCTTTCATAGGTTCTAACAGATTATAAAAATTGTACAGAACAGAGTTTACCTTGTCATCCAGTTGTTTGTACAGTTTAGCAACTTCATCCTCACGTAGTCTCCTATCAGCTTCTGTTAAATTAGCAGTAAGTGTAACAGCTGGCTTGTCATTGGCTACCACATTATCCACAACAAATGCATCCAGGTTGGCCTTCTCCTTGTCAAACTGCTCTTCAATAGGCACTGTCTCGCCTGCAGGACACAGAAAGATGATACTTTATTGCACCGTCCTTAAATAGATATCAATTTGTAGATCTAAAGTTTAACTTTCTATAAATGAATAATATTTTGTGTTATATGTTGTAGCTTCCACTTGCATTGAGAAAAGCCATTTGTAATGTTTACTTATATACATAAAAACACACACTGATTAAAACTAAGGGTAATAAAAAAAAACGTATACAACGCACCCCATGATCTCCAATCGGAGAACTACTTATAAAGAAATATTCCTGCCTCAAAAATACAGGCCACAAAGAATCAAAGATTTGGGACCAAATTGTGATCAGACCCCAGCAACTTAAGCACTACAATGGTACAGTGCTAACAAACTTAAGGCACTATTTTGAAAGGAGACTCATATTCCAGCAGCCTTGTATTTTTAACTATCACAAAGCCAGCCAATCACAATGAAGGTGAATCTGTACTCAAAAGGTAGCTTAGAGCTAAGAAAGCATATGGACTTTTGTAAACTTAGACCTTTAATTGCCAGAGTCGTTTTGTACACATTTCAAAAAATATTTTAGGTCTGAAAAACAACCACTTCCCATCCGGCCCATGTATATTAATGGCTGGACGGGAGCAGTGCAGGAGCGGGTTGCCATTCATAAACGGCGCCTGTCATTTTAGCCTATGCGCGCTGCCTGGGAGAGCGCAGCACCTTGATCTGGAGCCCACTGTGTCCTCTGGACACAGCGGAACACCGATCGCTGAATGGGACCTCTGTGTGAGGTCCCGATCATGTGATCACTGATTGGCCAATCAGTGATCACATGAATAGTAGTAAGCAAGATGTCACTTCTGACATCAATGCTTACTACGTGTGAAATCTGTGAAAGATCAAAAGGTACAAGGCTATTCACAACAGCCTTGTACTATGTGACAAGCTGTGGCCAATCACAGCTCTCACTGTATTTCTCAATGGCTGCAAGAATGCAGCCAGAGAGAAAGAGAAATGATTGCTTTTACAGCATCAGTGTAAAAAATGAAAAATCTCATTATGGTGACACTGTACTGCTAGGGTGACAGTATGTAAAAAAAACAAAAAAAACAAATCGTATTCTAAAAAAAAAAAAAAAAAAAAAAAAAAAAAAAAAAAAAAAAAAAAAAACATTTTTTGAAAAATTATAATTTTTGGTTATAAACTAATTTGGGTTTTTTTACTAAAAATATAGCTGAATAAATTTTGGCAGAGATTTATAAAGAAAGATTAGTTGCAAAATTTTAAATTAAACACTTTTTTCAATATTTTTGGACTTTTTCATTTATATTGCAAAAAAAAAATAAAAATCCCAGTGGTGAATAAATACCACCAAAATAAAGTTTTATCTGTCGCAAAAAAAATCATATGGGTACAGTGTTGCATGACCGCGCAATTGTCATTCAAAGTGAGACAGCGTTGAGAGCTGAAAATTGGCCTGGACAGGAAGGGGGTAAAAGTGTCCGGATTTGAAGTAGTTAAAACCCCCAACACATGTTTTTAAAGCAGAGGCCTTAGAGAATAAAATGTTGGTAATTACAAAGTTTCGTGTTACTGGGGCTGTGAAGCGAATGCGGATTTCTTTCACTGCCTATGGAACTGCCCCACAGTTTATGCTTTGTGGTTGGAAGTTAATACTTTTCGCTCCACTGCTTTGGGCCTGCTCAATATCCTACACTGTAAGAACTGCCTTTTGGGCATTTTTGGAGACTTCCCTCTTTCCAAGTATATGAACAGCTGTTACGGATACTCTATTATTTTGTAAATAAAATTACCGTATTTGCCAGCGTATAAGATGACTTTTTGACCCTTGAAAATCTTCTCAAAAGTCGGGGGTCGTCTTATACGCCAGTATACGGCATACTGACACTTTTTAGGGGGGCGGTGCCGCCCCCCCCTTCCAACGGTAGGGACACTAAGTACAGGGGTGGGCAGGGGCTGCTGTCTCTTACCTGGATCCAGTCCCACGACGATCCGGTCCAGGAAGCGCGGCTGCTCCTTCAGTTCGGCCACTGGATGTTTGTGCGGCTGCTCGGCTCCGCCTCCTCACCGGTGATTGGCCGCCAGAACTGTAGCTCAGGAAAGGCACACAGGCGGCCAAACACAGGCGGCCAATCACCGGCGAGGGGGCGGAGCTGAGCGGCCCCACGAAAATCGAGTGCCGGAGCAGCAGGTAAGTGTTCAGTGTAGAGGTGCTGCTGCAACCACATATGCTGGCTGCAGCAGCACCATACTAGAACAGGGTCAGCAAGTGTAATTGGTGTCAGTGGGAGGAATAGTGCCCCATCATTGGTGTCACTGATACCAATGATGGAGCACTAGTCCTCCCACTGACACCAATGATCGAGCACTATTCCTCCCACTGACACCAACGATGGGGCACTATTCCTCCCCCCCACTGACACCAACGATGGGGCACTATTCCCCCCCCCCCCACTGACACCAACGATGGGGCACTATTCCCCCCCCACTGACACCAACGATGGGGCACTACTCCACCCCCCACTGACACCAATGATGGGGCACTATTCCACCCCCCACTGACACCAATGATGGGACACCATTCCACCCCCCACTGACACCAATGATGGGACACCATTCCACCCCCCACTGACACCAATGATGGGACACCATTCCTCCCACTGACACCAATGTTGGGACACTATTCCCCCCACTGACACCAATGATGGAACACTATTCCCCCCACTGATACTAATGATGGGGCACTATTCCTGCCACTGATACTAATGATGGGGCACTATTCCTGCCACTGATACCAATGATGGGGCACTATTCCTGCCACTGATACCAATGATGGGGCACCTATTCCCCCCACGGATACCAATGATGGGGCACTATTCCTGCCACTGATACCAATGATGGGGCACCTATTCCCCCCACTGATACTAATGATGGGGCACTATTCCTGCCACTAATGCCAATGATGGGGCACTATTCCTGCCACTAATACCAATGATGGGGCACTATTCCTCCCACTGACACCAATGATGGGGTACTATTCCTCCCACTGGTGTGCATTGGAAGAGGGGTAGTCTTGTACGACGAGTATAGCCCAAACACTACATTTTAGCAGGAAAAGTAGGGGGTCGTCTTATACACCCAGTCGTCTTACACGCCGGCAAATACGGTATACTTTTGTCCTGGAAGGGTGCCCCTCCCTTGTCACTGGAGGCTTGGAAGGCTATGGTTAATAGTAACCTCCGCATATATAGGCTAACCTATGAGCTCTGTAAACAACCTTGGCTTTTTGATAATTTATGGAGTTGTTGGATAGACAATCCTCATACAGCTGCTCTTTTAGATCCAGGGCCCTAATTATTCATTGTCCATAACTAAACAATCTTTGGTATCTTTGACTGTTTTTGATGGCACCACCTTTATCATACTAATTTGTATATTGTATGCTTGATTGTATGAAGGCTGTTACAGGTATTATGTTAGAGAGTTTTTTTTCCCTCTTTGTTTGCCCCTTGGGGCGTGTTTTTGTGTTGTAAAACTTAATAAAAAGATCTTTAAAAAAAAAAAAAAAATGTGTCACCTGATATTAGTGCAAAATGTTTATCCCGGGCAAAGTTTCAGTAAAAAAAATACACAAAAGTTAATTTTACTGCATACATATGTAAGAGATTACCCAACGTTTGGTGAAATATAAAAATGATGAGGTTGTGCCGATAACAAATGTGTCAAGCATAAAATTGTGTGCATCCATGAAATGACAACAAACCTCGGAACCCAAAATTATCTATAGATATGGCTTTAAAAGTGCTTGGGTCTAACTCATTTTTTTTTACTTTTAACTTAACTATTTATATCACATAGAAGGCATACAGTCCAAGTATCTCCTAGATTGTAAGCTCGAAAGAGCAGGGCCCTCGAACCCCTCGTGTATTGTATTGTTACTGTCTTGTCTCATGTTCTGTCCCCCTTGCTACTGTACAGTGCTGAGCATACCCTTTGGCGCTATATAAATACTGTATAATAATAATAATGGAAGCAAACAGTTCAGAAAATCCCTCCATGCAGAAACATTTTGGTTCTCAGATACTGCAACAGTCACATTACCTGATAGAACCAAAGCTTAGGACAATAAGGTTCATAACTAAAGCTTTTCCATCATAAATCCAGTACTATGCTTGACCTCACCTTTACGCCAGCGAGCAAGCTCGCTTTCCAGGAACTGCACTGTAGCTCGCAATGTCTTTGTCTTCTCCTTTTCCTTTTCATATTTTTTCTTCCACTGCTCAGCTGTGAGCTCAATATTAACACACACTGTGTTTTTAATAGTCTTCGCTCTAGTGAAAGTAAAACAAAAAAATGTTACTTTTGCTCTTCTCAGCTTACAGCTAGAACATAGATGTAAATGTGTAATGACATTTATGCATCATTAATACCAAAAAGAAACAGTCCATAATGCTTTGCCACATTCATAACTGTTTATGCTTAACTGAAAGGAGCTATGAAGACCTAAAAGGGACACCCAATTCTGGAGGATGTGCCCACAAAAAGTCAGGTAGAGAACAAAGGACAAGTCACTAGTTTTATCTGTGGTTTCCTTGCAGATAATCTTTTCCCCACAACTGACTTACCATGCTTTATTTTACACAAGGTAGCAATCTTTGTAAAGGCAGGGCTTTGCTTTCTCATTTCAGAGCCACCAGTAAAGAGAACGGTAAGCAGAACAGCAGTGGCATCACCGAATCTAACTCCCAATATCTTAAAACAACCAGTCAGAGGCAGCAGTGCTCCAGATCTCACATCGCAGACATAAATCTATGAGGCTGTAGGCACAAAAGTGCCTAGGCACATTCAAATACCAGGAAGCAACCTGCTATTGTCTAGGAAGGATTTCTGACAAAAACAAAATCTTTCAGTGTATTTCTTAGACACAAATCACAGATCTTTACTTTTCGAGTTCAGCTCCATTTTAAGAAATTGTAACCAGGCTTTACGTATTCATTTGGTTATACGCTGTGTTTTATGATGCAAACGTGACATTTTATTACAGCTCTCAATAAAAAAAGTAGATTGAGGCCAAGGTAATAAATGTAAAAGCAATTGATTCAATTTAGCAATACAGACTATTCAAAAAGACATGACAGATGTAGCATGGAAGATTGAAATGATCCCAGTTTTGCATTAATATATACAGGGGTTGAACAAAATACCAGGTAAAAGAACAAAACTGTTACCCAATATGGTGCTGAATCGCCTTTGGCATCCAACAAGGCCTGATTTCTCCTGCGAGTTGACAAATACAGGTCCTGGATGGTGGATAATAGAATCTGATACACCCTTCATGCAAAAATTGCTCTAGTTCTCACAAAGATGCCGGAGGTGCAAAACGAGCCCAAACCTTGTTCTCCAAAATTGACCATAGTGGCTCTATGTTATTGAGATTCGGCAAGGTGTGAGACTTCATCTGCATGCTCGTCAACCACAATTTGACAACACCAGGTGTGTTAATTGGAACATTATCCTCTTGGTAAATGGCGCTTAGAGAAATAATGACTGCACCATGTGGTACACATGGTCAGCCAAAATTTGTACAGAGTCGCTGGCTTGAACTCTATCTTTCAAAGGGCCCAGCAGAACAACAAGATATGGCTGCCCAAACCATGATTACACCACCACCATACTTTATCATTGGCATAAGACAGTCCTGGTCTTGGCACGGTGTTTGCCACGCATAAACCAGTGTCCAGTGGTTGGGAATAGTGTGAATATCAACTCCTCGGACCATATTACATTCTTCCATTGATTGATAGTCTACGATTTATAAGTGTTGCATCAATTACTCTTCTTGTGAGCATTAATATCGGTCACTAGTGGTTTGGCAAATGCAGCTCGCCTGTGAATGTTTTGCTTATGGAGTTTCCTCTGCATAGTTTTTTTTGGACATGAGCTTTGGAAGACTGGGATTGAGCTCTGCAGTCACTTTTGCAGCAGTCTTATTCCGGGTCACAATTCTGTGCAATGTCCTTTAGTCTTTTTCAGTCAGTTGACCATATCGACCGTGCTTATGCTCATCAGACGACGTTTTCCGGAAACTGTATATGCCGTCATAACCATTGATACTGTACTTCGTGACACAGCCAATAAATTGGCAACTTCAGTCACAGAAGCACTAGCTAAGCGGACACCAACAATTTGCCCTCTTTGAAGCTCAGTAAGCTCTAACATAACTCCGCATCACTAGCAGCTCATGCAGAGAATGATGAAAGGGAGGCTTCCTACCTTGTTATCTAGGTGTCTCATCAAACAGCAGATGCAAAAGAATGTCACATCACTTCTGCTTTCAATGCGAAACACAAAGTCTCTTTCACATCTACAAATCATGTGTCTCCATATTTTTGTATAAAACCATATCTAGATCGATAGCTAGCATTGCTATTGTTTTTTCTTCCATCTTGTGTAACAAAGTAATTTAAATACTTGCATGCCAGTTCCTACATACATGTGTTGTGTCAATTACTAAAGATCAAACATACAGAAAAAACACCAAAATCACCCTAACGATATAGAGTAGATTTTAACTTAACAAATCACGATATTTAAATATTGGTAATCAATTTTTTTTTTGTGGGGGGAGTAAGTTGCAGATCATGCAGCGTTTCTCACCTTTGACCAAACAGTAGAGTAGACTTTGTTTCAGCCTCATTGTAGGAGGAGGGTGAGCAGCAAATTACAATAGTGGTTCGACAATTACCTCCTAGGGAGTCTTGGAGGATTCTAGTCATTTTACTGTCTCGATATGGAATATAGACCTGTATTGGAACATAATGTTATATCAAGCAAGATGAAACATTTAAAACTATGAAGACTAATAGTTTATTTTAAACACAATGAAACGGGCTAGGAATTCTTACTAGAACTAGGGTCAAACATTACAGTTTAGCAGAGTTTGTAAATTAAGGGGTTTACAATGTTCAGCTATTGAAGCAAGTTGTGAAATGTATTTATGCTTTTGATACAGATGACCACCTCCACCTCAAAAACACTCTATTCTGGGTCTATCCAACTGTACTCTTTGTTGGTTCACATCTTACTTTTCACCACACCTTCAGTGTCGCTTACAACTCTACCTCCTGCTCTCCTATTCCCTTTTCCATTGGGGTCCCCCCCAACAAAGTTTCTGTCCTTGGACCTCTTTTATCCTCAAATTACACCACTTGCCTGGGTCAGCTGATAGCTTCCCACGGCTTCCAATACCATTTCTATGCTGATGACCACCAAATCTATCTTTCTTCCACTCAGCTCACCCTAGTAGTCTCTTCATGAATCACCGATTTACTAACAGACATATCAATACGGATATTACACCCCTTTCCTCAAACTCAACCTCCCCAAAACTGAGATATTTCCTCCCCCACATACCCCTTTCCTTGACTGCTCTGTCAAGATCAATGGCACAACTATCAACCCGCCCCCACAAGCCCGGGTGCTAGGGGTAACCCTGGCATCTACTTTTGGTCCCATATCCAATGACAGTCCAAATCGTGCCACCTCAACATCTCCAAAATATGCCCCTATTTAACCAATGACTCCACAAAGCTTCTAATTCACTCCCTGGTTACCTCTTGCCTCGACTAAGCCAACTCCCTCATTGTCTTACCTTTACATAGACTATCCATCTTCAGTTCATCATGAAAGCTAATGCCAGACTCATCCACCTCACCAGTTTCTGCTACCCCTCTTTGCTGATCCCTGCATTGGCCTCCGCTCACCCAACGAATAAAATTTAAAATATTAAATAAGACCAACTTACAAAACCATTCACAACTTGGCACTTGGCTACCCAATAACCTAGTCTCAAAATACCAACAAAATCGTTCTTTGTTCCTCCCAAGACCTCCTGCTCTCTAGCTCCCTCATCACCTCCTCCCTTGCTCACCTCCAGGACCTCTCCAGAGCCTTTTCCATCCTCTAGAACTCCCTTCCCCAATCTGTCAGACTATCTTCCACTTTATCCACCTTTAGGCAATCCCTGGAAACTTGTCTCTTTAGAGAAGCCTATCCTGCTTCTTAATACACTGACTTTACGTTCTCCATCAGCTGGTACCCTACAGTTATTACCCTTTGTATCACTTGACTTCTCCGTAGATTGTAAGCTCTAAAGAGCAGGGCCCTTTAATTTATCTTGTATCGAATTGTATTGTAACTGTAATGTCCCCCTTCATTTTGTAAAGCACTGAACAAACTGTTGGTGATATATAAAACACTTTGAAAACAAATCAGATCTCAGAGGGTAAAAATATCATGCTGGATATCTATACGATATATATCTATACGATATGGACTGAATAATGTGTTAGGAACGCAAGGATGCCCCATTGTTTGATGGAAATTAAAATGATCAACCTACAGAGGACTGAATTCAAAGACACCCTGAAAATCAAAGTGAAAATATGATGCAGCAGGCTAGTCCATTTTGCCGAAATTTCATTGCCATCAACTCAAAATGGTCCTCAGTAGTTTGTATGGCCCCCCACGTGCTTGTATGCATGCCTGACAACGTTGGGGCATGTTCCAAATGAGACTATGGATGGTGTCCTGGGGTATTTCCTCCCAGATCTGGACCAGGGCATCACTGAGCTCCTGGACAGCTTGAGGAGCAACCTGGCAATGTCAGATGGACCTAAACATGATATCCCAGAGATGTTCTATTGGATTTAGGTCAGGTGAGTGTGGGGGCCATTCAATGGTATCAATTCCTTCATCCTCCAGAAACTGCCTGCATACTCTCACCACGAGGCCAGGCATTGCCGTGCATCAGGAGGAACCCAGGACCCACTGCATCAGCGTAGGGTCTGACGATGGATCCAAGGATTTCATCCCGATACCAAATGGCAGTCAGTGTGCCATTGCCTAGCCTGTAGAGGTTTGTGAGTCCCTCCATGGATATGTCTCCCCAGACCATCACTGACCCACCACCAAAAAAGTCATGCTGAATGATGTCACAGGAAGCATAACTTTCTCCACAGCTTCTCCAGACCTATTCATGTCTGTAACATGCTCAGTGTGAACCTGCTCTCACCTGTGAAAAGCACAGGGCATCAGTGGCGGACCTGCCAATTCTAGGGTTTAATGGCAAATGCCAATCAAGCTCTATGGTGCCGGACAGTGAGCACAGGGCCCACTAGAGGATGTCGGGCCTTCAGGCCAACCTCATGAAGTCTGATTGGTGTGAATGTCTCTGACCAACCAATGGCCTGCTGGAGGTCATTTTGTAGGGCTCTGGCATTGCTCATCGTGTTCCTCCTCCACAAAGGAGCAGATACCAGTCCTGCTGATGGGTTAAGGACCTTCTATGGCCCTTTTCAGCTCTCCTAGAGTAACTGCCTGTCTTCTGGAATCTCCTCCATGGTGTTGAGACTGCTGGGAGACATAGCAAACCTTCTGGCAATGGCACATTTTGGCACAACCTCTGTAGGGTCCAGGTATCGCTTCATGCTACTAATAATGACACTGACCCTAGCCAAATGCAAAACTAGTGAAAAACCATCAGAAAAAAAAAAAAAAAAAAAATGAGTACGCTATACTCTGATTAAAAACTGTGTGTGTGTGTGTGTGTAATTTTATACAGTGCTCAGCATAGATGAGTACACCCCTTTTGAAACGTAAGATTTTCATCAAGATCTCAATGAACACAACAACATCTTCCAACATTTTGACATGTTTTATAGAACATTTGTTTAGCTCATTACATGAAAGTAAGGTTACTAATATGACTTAGATTACAAAATTTTCACTTTTACTCAAATTAGTTGATGCAAAAATGAATACACCCCACAACAGCACCAAGTCTTCTAGGCATGGAATGAACAAGCTGGCGACATAATGCAACATCTATCATTTTCCATTTCTCAAGAACAACCTCTTTTAGAGTCTGGATACAAAGTGATGCTCAACTTGTCTTTTCTAAATTCCCCATAGGTGTTCAATTGGGTTCAGATCAGGAAACATACTTGACCACTAAATCACTTTCACCCTGTTGTTCAGAAATGAAACAGTGGTTTTATATGCGTGTTTTGGATCATTGTCATGTTGGAAAAGTGCACAACAACCAAGTGATGGTAGCATCTTCTCTTTCGAAATAGAGCAGTACATGTGAGTTCATGATACCATCAAAAAACTGCAGCTCCCCAACACCATCAGGACTCATGCAGCCCCACAGAATGACACTGCCACCACGTTTCATTGTTGGCACTATGCATTTTTTTTTTGTACTCCTCACCTTTGCAACGCAATACAGTTTTGAAGCCATTAGTTCCAAAAACATTTATCTTGGTCTCATCACTCCAGAGTATAGAGTGTAAGTAAAAAGGTGGTTGAGGTTCACGTTATATGACACAATTTCCATCACATGGGAACTCTTTGGTGACTGTGTCCTGGAGCGTTGGCAGGAGTATGGAGAGACACTTGAAACATATAAAGTCATAAGGAGCAGCAGTCATTTTCCTAAAAGGACCGGATTGACATTTTGGATCCTGGAAGCATTGTCGACAAGCGGAGGAGCGGTAATGTATGTGCTGCCCTTATTGGGGAGCCTATGGACATAAGACCATTTAACACTCCCTGAACATTAAGTCCAGTGGGACTGGAAAAAAATGGAGTAAAAGGTCTTGTGTCACACATCATGGGCCTGATGTCCTTACCTGATACTGCCCGCACATATTCCACTTTTGCGACATTTGTTGCTGGACACATGCTTTGCTTTGATGCTTCTCAATCTATGCTTATACTTTAGTCCATGACTGCATAAGATAACAGTAGTCTGTTTTTGCAATACCTCTTAAAGGAAATTTATGTTTTGTATGGAAGTTTTGATTTTATTTTGAACAGACAATCAGTTATTGGACACATTTTCCTATATGAACTGCCATATTGCCCCCACAAAGAAATTGGCCATTGAGCATTTTTTTCTTAAGCCTATAATTTTTTGCTTTATTCAGTACATCTGAGTCTCTTTTAGGATCATTGGGCCCCTAGAGTTTCTAGATTCACACATGGGGGTCATTTTGAATGTGATTTTTTTATAACAAAAGCAGCATGTTGCTGCGTCATGAAAACCCATATGTGAAACTACATGCGCCCGGACGTAATTATTTTCCGTTTGTCTTGTCTGTCTTGTTTATTCAGTTATTTGCAATGTATACAGTGGAAGCTGTTTGAGTTCACATTGATAAAACACCAATGTTCTATATTAAAATCATTGTATTATGATATTTTGCATTTAGAAGCTTTTCTGCGATACTTTAGCCTAGTGAATTTTTGTCACCTATAGTAATCACTTTGCCTACTATTTGGGCAGATTGTTTTTTATAGTGTCAGTAGTTTTCTTTTTCAGCATGGGCCATGGCAAATTCTAGAAGGGCTTTTTTTGTCTCATGGGCTTCAGGAGAGGCTTCCTTTGTGGACGATACCCATGCATGCCATTCCTCTGCAGTGTACACCGTTTTGTGTCACAGCAAAAAAAAAAAAAAAAAAAAACACCTTAGTTTGGCTTTACTTCTTTAGCCAACTTGCATGTTGTTCCAACTCTTCCCATCAGAAGATGCTCCTGTCGAGTTGTTAACTTCCATGGACAGCCTGGATGTCTCTGTGAGATAGTTGCAGTTCCATCCTTGTTAAATTTTTGTATCACTTTTGCTACGGTATTCTGACTGACAAGTAAAGCTCTGTTGATCTTCTTATAGCCTTCAACTTTCTTGTGTAAAGAATTATTTTATTTTTCAGGCCTTGTGACATTTCTCTTCCATGTGGTGCCATTAATGTCTAAAGGTGTGAATGGGGAGCAGGTGTGTTAAATTTGGTGTTATTGCTCTCACTCTTACTGGTCACTGGAAGTTCAACATGGCACCTCATGGCAAAGAACTCTCCGAGGATCTGAAAAAAAGAATTGTTGCTCTACATTAAGATGGCCTAGGCTATAGAAGATTGCCAAGACCCTGAAACTGAGCTGCAGCACGGTGGCCAAGACCATACAGTGGTCTAACAGGACAGGTTTCCACTCAGAACAGGCCTCGCCATGGTCGACCAAAGAGGTTGAGTGCACGTGCTCAGCGTCACATCCAGATGTTGTCTTTGGGAAATAGATGTATGAGTGCTGCCAGCATTGCTGCAGAGGTTGAAGGGGTGAGGGGGGGGGGGGGGGGGGGTCAGCCTATCAGTGTTTAGACCATACGCCGCACACTGCATTAAATTGGTCTGCATGGCTGTTGTCCCAGAAGGAAACCTCTTCTAAAGATGATGCACAAGAAAGCCCACAAACAGTTTTCTGAAGACAAGCAAACTAAGGACATGGATTACTGGAACCATGTCCTGTGGTCCGATGAGACCAAGATAAACTTTAGTTCAGATGGTGTCAAGCGTGTGTGGTGGCAACCAGGTAAGGAGTACAAAGACAAGTGTGTCTTGCCTACAGTCAAGCATGGCGGTGGGAGTGTCATGGTCTGGGGCTGCATGAGTGCTGCCGGCACTGGGTAGCTACAGTTCATTGAGGGAACCATGGATGCCAATATGTACTGTGACATACTGAAGCAGAGCATGATCCCCTCCCTTCGGGAGACTGGGCCACAGGGCAGTATTCCAAAATGATAACGGCTCCAAAACACACCTCCAAGATGACCACTGCCTTGCTAAAGAAGCTGAGGGTAAAGGTGATGGACTGGCCAAGCATGTCTCCAGACCTAAACCCTATTGAGCATCTGTGGGGCATCCTCAAACGGAAGGTGGAGGAGCGCAAGGTCTCTAGCATCCACCAGCTCCGTGATGTCGTCATGGAGGAGTGGAAGAGGACTCCAGTGGCAACCTGTGAAGCTCTGGTGAACTCCATGCCCAAGAGGGTTAAGGCAGTGCTGGAAAATAATGGTGGCCACACAAAATATTGACACTTTGGACCCAATTTGGACATTCTCATTTAGGGTGTATTCACTTTCGTTGCCAGCGGTTTATACATTAATGGCTGTGTGTTGAGTTATTTTGAGGGGACATCAAATTTACAGTTATACAAGCTGTACACTCACTACTTTACATTGTAACAAAGTGTCATTTCTTCAGTGTTGTCATATAAAAAGGTATAATAAAATATTTACAAAAATGTGAGGGGTGTACTCACTTCTGAGACACTGTACATATACAGGCGTACCTTTGTTTTTAACAGGGAAATTTCGTAATGCAAAAACCCAAAACGCGGTTTCCCATAGGAATGCATTGAAAACCAATTAATCCATTCCAGAGGTCAGAAAAAAAAGTAAAAAAAAAAAAAAAAAAAGTCTTATCTGTTCAAAACTCTTTATAAAATGTACTTTAAAAGGCATAAATAGTGTACAGGGACATGATTAAAAATTTCCAGAATGGCTCCAAACACTGCTCCAACACCTCCACACCGCATGCTACCCACAGACTACAGCATGCACGGGTCTGGCGCTATAAACCTCCCAGGCGCAATGCATTCTGGGGAAACTTGCTTTGTATTGCAAACAAAACAAAAAAAAAAAAAAAAAAAAAAAAAAAAAAAATGTATACCAAGGCATTATTTTCAATGGATTTTCATTCGTAAACAAAAAAAATGACATTAACCGAGGCACGCATATGTATGTATGTATATATATATATATATATATACATATATATATATATATATATACATATACACACACACACACACATTTTATTCGTGTGCAAAGCCACTTTAGGAGGAACACCAGTTGACTTTAATGAAGAACACCATGTAAACACACACAAACACCTTCAAAAATATATAGCTAGTATTGGCAATGCTTACTCTTTCATCAAGCAGATTGGCAGAAGGTAGAAGTTATCAATTGGACATACAGGAGAAAGGTTTGTGCGGTTTTGTTCACTAAAATTCATAAAGAGAACACTGGGGGTAGAGCAGTGGCTAGGAAACAGCCCTCTAGTACAGCAAATCTTGGTTGAAAAACATATTCCAGTGGGGAATGAGTACGAACTGAAAAACAGTAATACTAAAAGTACAATTTAAGTGTGCTGACAACTTACACTGCCTTCAGCCAGGGCAGAGATGACATTTCCAAGGGCTGACAAAGATTTGTTGATGTTTTTCGCTTCATCGAGTAAAGCTCCTTCAGCTCCAGTTTTGCTAACCTAAAACCATTAGAAAGAAATACATTTTGAAATGAAGGACAAAAAAAGTTTGGTGTTCTTCAGTTAGAGGAAAGGCATAAAGCTTCATTACTAAGAAACAGACTCACAAAATTAAAACCATTTTTCGGTTTCCAAGTACTTCCAACTTTTCTGCTTTATATTTATATTCCCAGAAAATGCAACCAATCACATTGCACCTTTTACTGATAAAAGTTCAGTATCCAGGGTTTGGATTGAGTATGTGATACAGTTCTTTGTACTGTTATGCAGGCCATACATGATTTGAACTCCGAACGATTTTTCGTCCGAAAATTGAAAACGTTGTTCGCTCGGTAATTCGATGGTGCCATCAGTGATTTCGAAAATCGGCCAACCAAGTCATAAAGTTCACCCCATATAACAGGCAAAACTTCTGTTCCTTCCAGGTCACTGCTCATGCGCATATTCTTTTCATAAAAATGATCGTACGATTTGACCATCATTGAGTTGAAAATCGGTTGTTTCTCACAAATTTTCTAACACGCCTGATCACCGAAAAGGGGAGGAACAATGAAAAACGGCTGGTGCCATTGACCCACTAATGGAGCAAAAATCGACCGATTATTCTTGGATCCGATTTTTGGACGCAAAATCGGTCGAATTTCGACCCATGTATGGCCGGCCTAAAAAACATTATACAAATATATGTTTCAGTATTTTTGCATAGTTCACCCTATATATTTTATAATAAAATGAAACTCACAGCAAGAGATCAAGTCCCTAAAGCCAGGCATACATGGACTGAAATTTGGCCGATCGACTTCTGTACAACTACCCTTTCTGATTTTCCCTGCTGGATCAGAACTGCAGGGTGTGTTCTGAGAGCAGGAAAGTCTCTACACTGTCAGAATTCAATAGCTCAACGGGAAGGACTACCTCATCCACCTCCAATGTGTGTGGATGGAAAAACTGGGTCAGTTTTTTTTCGTTCAACCTGCTGTTTGAACAAAATAGCGGACTCATTTATGGGCTGCTTAAGTATATATAGGGAACAGTAACTATTGACATTATACACAGACTAAAAGCAATCTGAAGCAGCTTACCTTTTCACTACCAGCCAAATCAACCAAGTAAAGTTTACCACTCAGTTTCTGCTCTGTTTGAGTGTTTTCTTGCTTTACATTAATTAGAAAAATGCTGTGACTTCTAGAGCTGTGTTCATTCATATCTAAAAGAAGGGAAAGAATCTCATTACATCTACAGAGGAGGATCACACTTTCCATTGTAGCCTGATATTGTACAGTGAAGTTCAATTCCTGTTCTCTGCTAAAAACAATGCATGTTTTCTTTACAGCCAAGCTGGGGGCAAAGCTTCATTTAGTAATGTAAAGGTCCGGACACTCAGGTTGGCCGGAAGGATCGGTGATCATGACTGGCTGTCACAGTGGTGACATGAACAGAAGCCGGTCCCACCGGCTACCAATTCTTAGTCAGGACCTAGAGCAGTCTTTGGCAGCTCAGTCATTGTGCTGGCAGCGTACAGTGAGCGCTCCTAACAAACATTGGCCGTGCAGCAAGACATATGTGCAGCATGAGGGCAATAAAGCCCATCTTCTTGCCACTGCACAAATGTGTTACCGGGTGTAAAGGCTGGAACTTAAAAACATGCTTAGACAACTGAAAAGGTACATCACATCTTAGGAACATAAAAACCCTTACAATGAGTGTACTCTCCAAAAGACAGCCTGCACAGTAAACATTTCATTAATAAAATGCAGGACACAGTGCAGCATCTCTTGGATGTTCTTCGCAGAACACTTCAGAGAACACTCAATGACAGGAGAGCCCACTCAAAGTCATGCAACATATTGCCCCTCCTCCTCTAAGCACCGTCCCCCACTCCCATTTGCTTGAATGAATGTGGATTTATTTAAGAGATGCTAAACAAGTAGTGTAGAAAGCGCAATTGTAAAGCACAATGCTGTTCTTTAAAAATATGGAAAAATATTTTTTTTCTCTGCTAAAAGCTGCTTTTTAAATCACCCCCTTAGACCTCGTGCACACTGCTACTTAAAAAAAGACAGCGTTACAGGCTTTTCTTTTTTTTTCATTAATGTAAACATGCAGAGAATAATGTAAATGCAGAGAATAATGTAAATGCAGACCACTGTTTTCAATGTGCCTGTACACACAGGTGCGCAAACATGCTTTGCGTATAGATCAGTAAAAAAAAAATAATACACAGAAATCTGCTTTGCTGGTCAGTATTTGCACACATATACATGCAAATATGCACATATGCCACAAAACCATTAATTAAAATAAAGCTAGAAGAATTTTTATGAGTGTTTATGCATACATATGGGCATGAGCTATACAGCCCATCCTCCCGTTTTTCTGCCAGGAATGCCTGCTGTTCATACATTAGTACAGTTGCAAGTACCCTTAAAAATCAAATTAAGAAAAGGAGCTGGGATAATGTCATTCTTACTGGAGAAAATAAAGAACAGCTATTGAGAATTATGGGAGTATACCCTGCTCGGCCATGACACAGCAGGTGGTGTGCCATACACTGTACAAAAGCAAGATGAAATATGGGCCATACAAGCAGCAACAGGACTTGGACACACATCATCCATGTAAATTTTCAATTGTCCATTTCTGCTTATCCTGGAAGATTGTCCAGCAATACTAACATGAGGAGTCTTGAATGCAAGGGTCTCAAAAGCAATGTCTATGGCTGGCAAACAGATTCACTTTTCAATGAAAAATGACCTCAGTCGTAAAACTTGGATGCATAAAAGGTTATTGGCAGATCATGTTGTAGAACTAAATGAAAATGATGTATTGACAGGATGAGATGAGTAAGACATAGCCCCTAGATTTCTTAAGCTATGATAAAGAGCTTGTGCTATAATGCCATTTTAAACACCAACAGTGCTTAACATGAAATATGATATAGTACAGTGATGGCGAACCTTTTTGAGCCCGAGTGCCCAAACTGCAACCCAAAACCAACTTATTTCTTTCAAAGTGCCAACACTGCAATGAAACCTGAATATCGAGCTTTTGGTTTAGAAAAAACAACTCGTACAGTAGTGCAAACTAATTAACAGTACAGGGATGACCAGAGACTGCGGACAGTACAGGGATGACCAGAACTGCGGACAGTACAGGGATGACCAGAGACTGCAGACACAGTACAGGGATGACCAGAGACTGCAGACACAGTACAGGGATGACCAGAGACTGCAGACACAGTACAGGGATGACCAGAGACTGCAGACACAGTACAGGGATGACCAGAGACTGCAGACACAGTACAGGGATGACCAGAGACTGCAGACACAGTACAGGGATGACCAGAGACTGCAGACACAGTACAGGGATGACCAGAGACTGCAGACACAGTACAGGGATGACCAGAGACTGCAGACACAGTACAGGGATGACCAGAGACTGCAGACACAGTACAGGGATGACCAGAGACTGCGGACACAGTACAGGGATGACCAGAGACTGCGGACACAGTACAGGGATGACCAGAGACTGCAGACACAGTACAGGGATGACCAGAGACTGCGGACAGTACAGGGATGACCAGAGACTGCGGACACAGTACAGGAGATGACCAGAGACTGGGGACACAGCACAGGGATGACCAGAGACTGCGGACAGCACAGGGATGACCAGAGACTGCGGACAGCACAGGGATGACCAGAGACTGCGGACAGCACAGGGATGACCAGAGACTGCGGACAGCACAGGGATGACCAGAGACTGCGGACAGCACAGGGATGACCAGAGACTGCGGACAGCACAGGGATGACCAGAGACTGCGGACAGCACAGGGATGACCAGAGACTGCGGACAGCACAGGGATGACCAGAGACTGCGGACAGCACAGGGATGACCAGAGACTGCGGACAGCACAGGGATGACCAGAGACTGCGGACAGCACAGGGATGACCAGAGACTGCGGACAGCACAGGGATGACCAGAGACTGCGGACAGCACAGGGATGACCAGAGACTGCGGACAGCACAGGGATGACCAGAGACTGCGGACAGCACAGGGATGACCAGAGACTGCGGACAGCACAGGGATGACCAGAGACTGCGGACAGCACAGGGATGACCAGAGACTGCGGACAGCACAGGGATGACCAGAGACTGCGGACAGCACAGGGATGACCAGAGACTGCGGACAGCACAGGGATGACCAGAGACTGCGGACAGCACAGGGATGACCAGAGACTGCGGACAGCACAGGGATGACCAGAGACTGCGGACAGCACAGGGATGACCAGAGACTGCGGACAGCACAGGGATGACCAGAGACTGCGGACAGCACAGGGATGACCAGAGACTGCGGACAGCACAGGGATGACCAGAGACTGCGGACAGCACAGGGATGACCAGAGACTGCGGACAGCACAGGGATGACCAGAGACTGCAGACAGCACAGGGATGACCAGAGACTGCGGACAGCACAGGGATGACCAGAGACTGCGGACAGCACAGGGATGACCAGAGACTGCGGACAGCACAGGGATGACCAGAGACTGCGGACAGCACAGGGATGACCAGAGACTGCGGACAGCACAGGGATGACCAGAGACTGCGGACAGCACAGGGATGACCAGAGACTGCGGACAGCACAGGGATGACCAGAGACTGCGGACAGCACAGGGATGACCAGAGACTGCGGACAGCACAGGGATGACCAGAGACTGCGGACAGCACAGGGATGACCAGAGACTGCGGACAGCACAGGGATGACCAGAGACTGCGGACAGCACAGGGATGACCAGAGACTGCGGACAGCACAGGGATGACCAGAGACTGCGGACAGCACAGGGATGACCAGAGACTGCGGACAGCACAGGGATGACCAGAGACTGCGGACAGTACAGAGATGACTGCTGACCTTTGGGGAGGGAGGGGGAGCGGGTACCTGAATTTGACAGGTACCCGCTCTTACTTCCGCAGAGTTTTTTTTTTTATCTTACCTGTTCCTCGATCCAGCCGCGCGCTGTCTTCCCGGCTTCTGTAGTGTGGGCGCTCGTCGGACAGCCGGATGCCCAGTGCGCATGCGCGAGAAGCGCTGCGCTTTGTGATTGGTCCGGCGGCTTCTGGGATCTGTCATGTGTCCCAGGTACCGCCTTACCATTCACAAGGAGCACTGCTTCTTGTGCATGCGCACTTGGGACCCGGCTGTCACGCACACTACAGCCGGGAAGACAGCGCACCGCTGGATTCTCCTGGCGTGCCCACAGATAAGGCTCGGCGTGCCGGCTGTGGCACGCGTGCCACGGGTTCGCCATCACTGATATAGTAGAATAAACTGTGAAAAGACAGTGAAGACCCAGGAAAAAAAAAAGCAGTAACAGCAGCTCTGAAATCTCCCAGGACTATTCCAGTTTAAAAGGGGCATGTGCAACATACTTGTCACAGCTACATGTCTGTTAGATTTTCCGTCATCTATAGTATCCATGACTTCTTCAGGACTACAAACGAACCGCTCAGTACAACCCTACAGAGGAAATAGAAACTTATTAAAGTAGAAATTAAACACACAGTATGAATACATAATACAGAAATATGGGTGTGTATATACACACTCATATACAGTTTTCACAGCAAATAATTATAAGACCCACCTTTACATACGGAACTCTGTTTTTGTCTTCATGAACAGACAGATTTGTTTTCGACACTGAAATAAAAGATGGAGAAATTTGAATGCGTACATTAGCAGCATAGTCTCTGCACAGGTACCATCTCAGTCAAGGATTGTGCACAGCAGTTTCAGAGGCAAGTCTCAAGGCTTCATGGGAAAACCTAACAGCTTCTGATTCCCTAAGAGAACTAGCATTGCACACTGCCAATCAGAAAGACAAGACAATCATTGTCTGGAGGCTTGTTAAGGACAGTAACATTTGCCCACATTCCGGCCTTTTTTTAATAGAAAAAAAAAAAAAATCATCTGTCCTAAGACTGGTAAGTCACATATAAGGGGTGTTTACAACGCCAGAGTTGTCAAGTCTTCCTTAAAGTATTACTAAACCCACAACAGGAAAATCAGTCTGTATATGCAGTAAAGCATGCGTGTTTTATTCACTGTGGAACCTAAGGGGTTAATCCTCTGCATTGTGTAAAAACGCTGTTTGATCCTGACTTCTCTGATCCTCCCCTTCTTCCAGTGTCCCCCTCATCTACCGATAAGACATATTGTGTTGATTCACTCTGCACATGCTCAGTTTGGTTTGTATTGCTAGAAAGGTTTTTTTTTTTCTTTTCTTGGGAGTGCGCATATGATCAGCACAGGGCCAATCAGCACTGTCCAGACAGAGGTCAGGGGTTCTGCATCCTCCTAGGGAAAAAGGAAAACTCCTACAAGCTTTAACCAATGCTCGGCTGGACACTGATAGAAGTAACAAGATTTCTCTAACTGCTGATGAGAAAAGGTATTTAGCAGTTTATATTTACTGAAATAATTACACTTCCATGTTCTGTGTACTGTGGGAGACCAGATATAGTGAATGCAGGGTCAGGGGTTTAGTAACACTTTAAAACCTCTTCTCTTTTGATCCCCACAGGAAGTCATGGCATGCTACACAAGAGAGCCTGGATACCTGAGTACCATCTGACTGTCACTGTGGCCCCTTCCTCCTGGGGCAGTGAAGCAACAAGACAGTTCTGAGAAAACATTATGGCAAACTTCATTTTGCCAGCTAACTTGAAGCCTGATATCGGAGCCCTTGGGAAACCACATTTGACTTTTTCTTAGTTTTGGGCTTGAAAACTGTGGCCATAATTCAGCAGTCTGTTGTCGAGTTGGTGGAGCCCATTCCCCATGTCACTAAGTTGGCAACCTAACCCCAAGTCTATCCTGGGTGGCAACCACGTATGCCTCCATAAATACAGTGGAGAAATGAGTTTACCTACAGAGGGACAGGAAGCATTATTCACAGGATTAGTAGGTGAAAAACAAGCCTAAAAATGCAGCCTGCACATCTAGGGACCAGCAAGCTTAAATAATAAAAATTTTATTTGGGGTTCAGATACACTAACTTGCTAATGTATTTTTTTTTTTTTTTTTTTTTAAAAAAGTGATTTTTGATCTTTTTAATTCTGCAGCTTTTATTGAATTACTTATGATCCTGCCATGTAGGTCTTTGTTCAGATACTTCCTGTTTATAGACTGACAAGGTTTTGAGGCTTTGTCCCACATGTGCCCATGTGTTTTTACCCTATCACACATGACCCCCAATGCAGACTGCAAGTGGCTGTGCCACAATACAACATTCCACCACATGCATGCACCACATGTGAGTTAATAGGCTATCTGCATATAAAACTTACCATCCAACAGATCTCTTATCTTGTCTAGATAGATTTCAAAATATGACACCTAAACAAAACAAACCACTTATGAGTACTTATATAAAACATACTTCACTGTTTTTTTTTTTTTTTTTTTTTTAATAATGGTTTTTTTTTTTTGCCTAGGCTATTAAACAACAGGTTGCCCCTTTACTCATTAGATAGCTTTACTTTCTTTAGCAAAGCCTGCATTTAGATTGGGCAGAGATCAGCCATCTTTAAATAATTATATTAGCACCTTGAAGACCCTGGTATCAGCTTTGAATATAATTCCCTGAACTGCTTCTTCTTTGGACAGATCTTGGTATACTCACAACCTGCAGTCAGATAGGCGGGGTCTGCCTCAATATGGCCATTATCCACTAGGGTCTGGCCTGAGAAAGATCACAACTATTTGGATGAATGTTGTAGACACAGCAGATATATTCAGAAAAAGAGTTGGGAAGCAAACAGTATGGTGGGCATATCAGCATTTTAAAGGCTATCTCCACCTTTAGCAGTATGGTACACCCATATTTAGGGTGTACCATGTTTCTATGCACCCCAACCTTCACCCCCCCCCCCCCCCCCAACACCTATGACAGCGGAGAGAGTTCCACTCACACAGCCTGTAATTCCTTCACAGAGATCTGGGAAGGAACTCCAAGTCCCACCTGCCACTGTGGTAGATGGAATTCTAGTTCTCAATGGATGATGAGTGTGCTGATCAGAGCACTCAATCCACTGACTCTTCCTGAAGCTCAGTAACTAAAAGCCAGCACAGAGGTATGTGTGCCTGTGATCCACTAAAAATGGGTGCAATACTTTGCAGGCTCCATGCATTTTTCTTTTTTCTTTTTAAAGCTTAACTTAGTGTTTGAAGGCCAACAGTATGTGGACACCTAATTGTCACACCTACAGTCAGGTCCATAAATATTGGGACATCGACACAATTCTAACATTTTTGGCTCTATACACCACCACAATGGATTTGAAATGAAACAAACAAGATGTGCTTTAACTGCAGACTGTCAGCTTTAATTTGAGGGTATTTACATCCAAATCAGGTGAACTGTGTAGGAATTACAACAGTTTGCATATGTGCCTCCCACTTATTAAGGGACCAAAAGTAATGGGACAATTGGATTCTCAGCTGTTCCATGGCCAGGTGTGTGTTATTCCCTCATTATCCCAATTACAATGAGCAGATAAAAGGTCCAGAGTTCATTTCAAGTGTGCTATTTGCATTTGGAATCTGTTGCTGTCAACTCTCAAGATGAGATCCAAAGAGCTGTCACATCAGTGAAGCAAGCCATCATTAGGCTGAAAAAAAAACAAAACAAACCCATCAGAGAGATAGTTGTTTTGGCATGGCCTAAAACTGCTGTTTGGAACATTCTTAAAAAGAAGGAACGCACCGGTGAGCTCAGCAACACCAAAAGACCCGGAAGACCACAGAAAACAACTGTGGTGGATGACCGAAGAATTCTTTCCCTGGTGAAGAAAAGACCCTTCACAACAGTTGGCCAGATCAAGAACACTCTCCAGGAGGTAGGTGTATGTGTGTCAAAGTCAATAATCAAGAGAAGACTTCACCAGAGTGAATACAGAGGGTTCACCACAAGATGTAAACCATTGGTGAGCCTCAAAAACAGGAAAGCCAGATTAGAGTTTGCCAAACGACATCTAAAAAAGCCTTCAAAGTTCTGGAACAACATCCTATGGACAGATGAGACCAAGATCAACTTGTACCAGAGTGATGGGAAGAGAAGAGTATGGAGAAGGAAAGGAACTGCTCATGATCCTAAGCATACCACCTCATCAGTGAAGCATGGTGGTGGTAGTGTCATGGCGTGGGCATGTATGGCTGCCAATGGAACTGGTTCTCTTGTATTTATTGATGATTGACTGCTGACAAAAGCAGCAGGATGAATTCTGAAGTGTTTCGGGCAATATTATCTGCTCATATTCAGCCAAATGCTTCACAACTCATTGGACGCCGCTTCACAGTGCAGATGGACAATGACCCAAAGCATACTGCAAAAGCAACCAAAGAGTTTTTTAAGGGAAAAAAGTGGAATGTTATGCAATGGCCAAGTCAATCACCTGACCTGAATCCGATTGAGCATGCATTTCACTTGCTGAAGACAAAACTGAAGGGAAAATGCCCCAAGAACAAGCAGGAACTGAAGACAGTTGCAGTAGAGGCCTGGCAGAGCATCACCAGGGATGAAACCCAGCGCTGGTGATGTCTATGCATTCCAGACTTCAGGCTGTCATTGACTGCAAAGGATTTGTAACCAAGTATTAAAAAGTGAAAGTTTGATTTATGATTATTATTCTGTCCCATTACTTTTGGTTCCTTAATAAGTGGGAGGCACATATGCAAACTGTTGTAATTCCTACACCGTTCACCTGATTTGGATGTAAATACCCTCAAATTAAAGCTGACAGTCTGCAGTTAAAGCACATCTTGTTCGTATCATTTCAAATCCATTGTGGTGGTGTATAGAGCCAAAAATGTTAGAATTGTGTCGATGTCCCAATATTTATTGACCTGACTGTATGTGAGCTAGTTGGACATCTCATTCTAAAACCATGCACAGTAATAAGGAGTTGCCCCTTCCATTTGCATCTATAATGGCTTCCAATCCTCTGGAAAGGCTTTCTTTAAGATTTTGGTTTGTGACGTGGAAATGTTCGCCCCTTCAGCCAAAAGAGCATTTTGGAGTTCAATTACTGACGCTACATAATAAAGACATGGCTCCCAACTTAACGAGCTCCTCAACACCTACCCTGTCAAATTCTGTCTTTGTGGAGCTGGCTTGGTGCACAGGGGCAAATTCATATTAGAACAGGAAAAAGCCTCCCCTTGACTGTTACCACAATTTTAGAAGTGTACAGTAAGACTAAATTGTATTTGTACTGTATGCTACAGCATCAACACTATCCTTCACTGGAAACATGAACTCAACCTGAAGGGTGTCCAAATAGTTTTGGCTATATGGTACATAATCTACTAATGCCAGCCCACGTCATGTCTGTGATCTACACAAAGGCCTTGCTAATGAAAGTACAGCTACCCTTTAATGCGGGCAAAACTGACTTTAGTTCTGAAAAAAGGTTGAACTGAGGGTAGAAGACTTGGCAGTAGTGCATAATTCCACATGGCAATATTAACCTTTTATTGCCGGTGTGGCGCATGTATGCGTCCTCTCGGAGGGTGGGCTTTAACACAGAGTCCTCATATATGCAGCCCTATGTAAAACAACTCTCTGTCCTGAGAGTGTGCACCCTGCATGCTGCCGGCACAGACACCCGGCGAGGACTGGAAAGCTCCCCGATGCTTTATAGCGATCGGGACCTTTCTGATCATCTGACCTCTGTGACAGCCAATTACATCGGTCACATGGCCAAAATGCCCGCCTCCGTCTACCAGCAATTAAATGCTCCTAAAGGGCCAGGAGGGGTCGGCGGGAAGGGGTTAAAGCAATACAATCTACAGAGCAGAAAAAGAAAAGGAGGGGGGGGTTGGGGAGGAGATGCCACTTTTGTGCTTTCAGACTGTAGAGGACACAACTTTAAGGCACTTTATCTTATGCTGTGTTTTGGCTTACCTTTATATGAAACTCCAGGTTTTCATCCATTGAATAAATGTAGTTAAATATATCTTGCACTATTCTAGGAATAATCCCCATTCCATCTGGATCATGTAATTTTCCCTAAGTATAAAAAAAAATAAATAAAACAAACCATTCTTATCACCACAGTAATACAATATCACATAAAGCTGCAAACTGCATACACGTTTTTTTTTTGTTTTTTTTTTTACCTCCATGGTGTGGGTCTTTCCAGATGATGTCTGTCCATAAGCAAATATTGTACCATTGTATCCCTCGAGTACATCTGAAGGAAAAAGCATTAGATATTATTGCAGGCAAACTGACATTCCCCATTCTGAAAAGCCTCTTAAAGCAACTTTATTGCTATTTTGAAAGGTGGAACGCAATCCCAGCAAATCAAGCAGAGAAACTCGGAACTGTGCTAAGCCCTGTGATCAGGTTCACACTGATGCAGTGCGGGAACCCGCAAATGATTTGGACAGAAATTGCACCACATTCTTGTTCAAATCACATGCGATTCTTTTGCAGTGCCATTTGAGCCATTCATTTTGTATGGCTCAAATCACACCCGCAGGAAAGGTGCAGTACCTTTTTTTCCTGCACTGGAATCGAATCGCATGGATGTTCATACCCATGTGATCCGATTAAGTCAATCGCACTGCATTTTGCAAACTGTTTTGGGGGTGCGTTAGCATCCCACCACACGGAATGTGGTTCTGATACGGTGCAGGAAACGCACAGAATTCGCTGCAAATCCTGCACATCAGAACCGGGCCTGAAGCTCTTTCAGCAGTAAAGTTCAGTAGTGAGGGTAGCAGAACAAGCAAAAATTGAGTACTGTGTAGCAGATAAGAAGCGCCACAGAAAATACAAAATAAATCAAATAATAAGCAGCACTCTAACCAAAAAAGGTAAAATAGTGTACAAATAAAAAGTGCTCTAATTATTCACAAAGAATGCAAGGATAAATAATAAAAATATAAATAAATTCATAAATATAAACATAAGTCCAGCCACCATAACAGTGATAGTCCAATATCAACTTAATGTCAATCTTGAAAACAAACACCCATGTGCAAATCCGACACCAGATGAAATGAATACACTCACCAGAGCTATATGCTGATTATATTCTAAACCAGCATGATAGCATTTTGCTCTGGGAGCGATGATCTGCAGGATATCCCAGTAGAGGGACAGCAACCAATAGTGATCCAATCAGCATATATGGAACAGCTAAGCAGCAAATGATCTTCCAATAACATGGGCAAAGCTCGAGGAATAAGAAGAGATATGATGGTGCAGTACGTTTAAAACCAGTAAAAAATTATTAGTAAAGTATTGCACTCACAAAGAAGGTGTCTAGCCGACACCAGCAATGGCCTAGTGGATGTGACGTTGGAATGTTCCTCCCAGCTGTCGGCTGTGTTGATCGCGGCGCAGGAGGTTCGTCCCTTGGTTTTTCCCTTGTGGATGTGGCATTATAGAGGCTGTCATTGCTGGTGTCGGCTAGACACCTTCTTTGTGAGTGCAGTACTTTACTAATAAAATTTTACTGGTTTTAAACGTACTGCACCATCATATCTCTTCTTATTCCTCGAGCTTTGCCCATGTTATTCGAAGATCATTTGCTGCTTAGCTGTTCCATATGTGCTGCTTAGCTGTTCCATATGTGCTGATCGGATCACTATTGGTTGCTGTCCCTCTACTGGGATATCCTGCAGATCATCGCTCCCAGAACAAAATGCTATCATGCTGGTTTATAATATAATCAGCATATAGCTCTGGTGAGTGTATTCATTTCATCTGGTGTCAGATTTGCACATGGGTGTTTGTTTTCAAGATTGACATTAAGTTGATATTGGACTATCACTGTTATGGTGGCTGGACTTATGTTTATATTTATGAATTTATATATTTTTTTATTTATCCTTGCATTTTTTGTGAATTAGCGTACTTTATTTGTACAAAAATTGAGTACTAATTGCTTGGGATTGCCAGTTTTCACCAAAAGAGGGACAGACTTGCTTTAAATAAGGATTGCAGCGCTCTCTCAAGTTTCAAGACCCCCAGGGCAGATAACAATACCCCTTTATTAATATAAAAGAAAGGAAAAAAAAAAAAGAAAAGAAAAAAAAAAAACGAAGGATCCCCATGCTCACATCAATTACACACTGAAGAAACGCAAAGCTGAGGATATTGTCCCCTGCTATCGCTGACCAACGTCACATCTAAAAAAAATTCTGAACTTCATCTGTGCTGCCCAGATCATTTTATTTTGTTGCATCTTTTATTCCAGGATATGGTAAATAGGTTTCAAGGCTTTTGTCATATGACCATAACATTTCCACTGTTATCACCTAATATTTCACCAGTTACTGCTGTAATAGTATACATTTTACCACTAAGTTTCATCCGTAAGTAGACATTTCTTTTTTTGATGTAATAAACATTTTTGATGTGTGCTAAATGTATAAAGCATGCCATAAAATGTACTTGTGCACCAACATGCAAGACATCAAAACTTCAATACCGCTGCTCTCACAATGAAAATTCAATAATACAAGTTAAATCTCTTTAACATGCAGGGCTACAGAAGGTCGAAAATTCTAATAGCACAATGCTGTGACCACATTAGATCCACATATAAAAATGTACAAATCTTTGAACTTCCTGAGCTTTGATGTTTACTTAGATTAACAGAGTAAAGTATGCTACAGTAAAAATGGTTTTAAAAACAAAAGTGACACGCATAACGTGCAAAAAGCTTTCCCGATCCTTCATTCTAGTAGAGGTATCTGTCAAGTTAACTACATACAACAAGATGAAAATCATTCTGTTTCACTAGAATGTCTGCTGTGATGTGCACTAAAAAAAATAGTAGTGTAGCGCAATTCATTGCATTGCACTGCAGCCAATAGAACTGAATGAAAATTAGATTTTTTTTACTTTATATCCTAAATAGTGCTGTGCTGATAAATGAGTGGATTTAGACTCCTCCCGATCCTATACAGAACTCAAAATAATACAAATTAGTGACTGTGAATAATATATGTACATACTATATAAATATGATTATTAGAAGTCCTCGAGGAAGTCACGTGCCCTGTGACGAAACGCGTTGGAGCAGGGCTTGGATGACGTCACCACGTTCGATCTTGATATGGCAAGTGTAAATTTTCATATAGCACCATTTGCACAACGTTGCTACAGTTATAAATAAGGCTGGATATATTTGGTGTGCTTTAGCACCTGTGCAATGTGAGTGACATTTTATATGGTTTTAGGAAACAATTAAGGTTTTAAAGCACTATCTTTAGTATTTAATTTCCATGGTTATATCTTTTTCATTTACATGCAAATATTTTCACTTGCATGTTGTGGAGCAGAGGAGCATCATAACCATCTTTGAGCATAATGTGGAGTGGTGACCATAGTCCATTAACCACTTTCCCGCCGCCCTGTATCATATATACTGAGGGCAGCAGGGGTGCGCAAAATCTCACACACATTTTATATATATATATATATATATATATATATATATATATATATATATATATATACATATATATATACATATACACACACACACACAGTGGGGCAAAAAAGTATTTAGTCCGCCGCCAATTGTGCAAGTTCTCCCACTTAAAAAGATGAGAGAGGCCTGTAATTGGCATCATAGGTAGACCTCAACTATGAGAGACAAAATGAGAAAAAAAATCCAGACAATCACATTGGCTGATTTGGAAAGAAATAATTTGCTTTGTTATATATCCTTTGTTGGCAATGACAGAGGTCAAACGTTTCCTGTAAGTCTTCACAAGGTTGGCACACACTGTTGCTGGTATGTTGGCCCATTCCTCCATGCAGATCTCCTCTAGAGCAGTGATGTTTTGGGGCTGTCGCTGGGCAACACGGACTTTCAACTCCCTCCAAAGGTTTTCTATGGGGTTGAGATCTGAAGACTGGCTAGGCTACTCCAGGACCTTGAAATGCTTCTTACGAAGCCACTCTTTCGTTGCCCAGGCGGTATGTTTGGGTCTTCCAACATGACAATGATCCCAGCCACGTTTCATCTTCAATGCCCTTGCTGATGGAAGGAGGTTTGCACTCAAAATCTCACGATACATGGCCCCATTCATTCTGTCCTGTACATGGATTAGTCGTCCTGGTTCCTTTGCGGAGAAACAGCCCCAAAGCATGATGTTGCCACCCCCATGCTTCACAGTAGGTATGGTGTTCTTTGGATGCAACTCAGCATTCTCTCTCCTCCAAACATGACGAGTTGTGTTTCTACCAAACAGTTCTATTTTGGTTTTATCTGATCACATGACATTCTCCCAATCCTCTTCTGGATCATCCAAATGCTCTCTAGCAAACTTCAGATGGGCCCGGACATGTACTGGCTTAAGCAGGGGGACACGTCTGGCACTGCAGGATCTGAGTCCCTGGCGGCGTAGTGTGTTACTGATGGTAGCCTGTTATGTTGGTCCCAGCTCTCTGCAGGTCATTCACTAGGTCCCCCTGTGTGGTCCTGGGATTTTTGCTCACCGTTCCTGTGATCATTTTGACCCCACGGGTTGAGATCTTGCGTGGCGCCCCAGATCGAGGGAGATTATCAGTGGTCTTGTATGTCTTCCATTTTCTAATTATTGCTCCCACAGTTGATTTGTTCACACCAAGCTGCTTGCCTATTGCAGATTCAGTCTTCCCAGCCTGGTGCAGGTCTACAATTTTGTTTCTGGTGTCCTTCGACAGCTCTTTGGTCTTCACCATAGTGGAGTTTGGAGTGTGACTGTTTGAACTTGTTATCAGTATAAAAGACACCTGTCCACAACCTCAAACAGGTGCCATTGATACATGTAATGAGTGCAGGACAGAGGAGCCTCTTAAAGAAGAAGGTACAGGTCTGTGAGAGCCAGAAATCTTGCTTGTTTGTAGGTGACCAAATACTTATTTTCCACCATAATTTGCAAATAAATTCTTTCCAAATCAGCCAATGTGATTGTCTGGATTTTTTTCTCATTTTGTCTCTCATAGTTGAGGTCTACCTATGATGCCAATTACAGGCCTCTCATCTTTTTAAGTGGGAGAACTTGCACAATTGGTGGCTGACTAAATACTTTTTTTGCCCCACTGTGTGTATGTATGTGTATATATATATCTATATCTATATATATATATATCTATATCTATCTCATACACACACGTGATTTTGCACACCCTACCTGCCCCACTATTCACGGCCTTGGCTGTCAATCACTGGGTCCCAGACGGGGAGTACTCACCAGCTCCCAGTGATCGTTGAGCATTACCGACAGGGGGAGAGAACTGTAAACAATACAGTCCTCTCCCGTCAGCTCCGGCAGGTTGCTTTGTATGGCTCTGCATAGCACAGCCATACAAAGCAGTGTGCTTACAACTGAAAGCACAAACACAGCTTACATTTAAACAGCACGCAGTTAACCCTTTGATCGCCTCTCATGTTAACCCCTTCCTGCCCAGTGCCATTAGTACAGTGTCAGTGCTTTATTTTAGCACAGATCACTGTATTGGTGTGACTGGGGATGTCATTGACAACAGTTTCCCCCAGTGTCAAAATGCCCTCTGCAGTTCCGCTATAAGTCGCTGATTGCCGCCATTACCAGCTAAAATTAAAAAAATCCCAGTATATAAACCGCCATTTGTAAATGCTATAACTTTCATGTAAACCAATTAATTTACACTTATTGGGATTTTTTTTTTTTTTTTTTTTTTAGCAAAGACATGTAGCAGAATATATTTTGGCCTAAATTAATGACGAAATTGGATTTTTAAAATTTTTTTTACTGGACATGTTTAATAGCAAAAGGTCAAAAATAGTTTTTTTTTCTCAAAATTGTCTTTTCATGGCGCAAAAAAAAAACAAAAAAAAAAAAAAAAAAAAAAATGCACAGGCAATCAAATACCACCAAAAAAAAAAAAAAAAAAAAGCTCTATTCATGGGGGAAGACATAAATTTAATTTGGATGCAGTGTTGCATGGCCATGCAATTGTCAGTTAAAGTACAACAGCGCCGTAACGCAAAAAATGGCCTGGTCAGGAGGGGGATAAATCCTCTGGAGGGCAAGTGGTTAAAAGGAGGCACATGTGCTTTATGACCGAACACTTAGTGGGAGGTCAAAATACTGAGGTGAGAGTACACCTGGTGGTGGTTAGTGGTGCACGGAGATGGAAATAATATTTGGCATATCAACAGGTTTTGAAGTTTATATGCAATTTTTTATTTTGAATATGGATACACAATATTTGTTCATATATATATTTATATAGTTTGTGCATATATTATTCACAGTCACCGATTGTATTATTATGAGTTCAGTACAGGATTGAGAGGAATCTAAATCCACTGATTTATCAATGCAGCACTATTTAGGATATCATGCTTGGACAAGGAGTCATACAAGGACAAGAAGTCATATGTGGTGCATAGCTGCTGGTATTCTCGCTCTTCTGTATAGAATTTTTGTTGGTATTTACATTGTAGCTTGCAAGCGATATAGTGATGGGGAGAGATTTGTCTTCCATAATGTACTCCAAGAAACGGATTTTACATGGAAGTCAAAAATTCAATTTTTTTTTTTTTTATAGTACAGCATGGGACACAGAGCAGCTTTAGTTATCTATCACGGATGTCCCAAAACACCTAAATGAGTGGAGGGCAACACCATGGCAACAAGCCCCCCCCCCCCCCCCCAAAAAAAAAAAAAAAAGCAGAAACAGGAAAGAACCACTGCAATCAGAATAGGCCTTCACAGCGGCTCGAACATCCACCTGTTAAAAATTTGGATGAACCCAAAGACTGTCTACCGACATGTTGTGATGTAAGGGGAGGGGCTTGGTGACATAATGATGCTTGCGGTCAGCTGACCCGCTCTAAAGAGCTCACGGACCAGTGAGAACTTGTACAGCCAGAGGGTGTCAGCTACATTTTTACATTATTGACTTGTGCGTGCAATATTGAGTGTAATGAAGCACCTGTACCATGTGAGTGGCTATTGCATATTTTAGTAAAATGTCAGTTTTAAATAAAGCGTTATTGGTTTCCCTATGTATTTTTTATATGCTCGCTGAGTGGAGGAGAAGGAAGGAGCTGAATCAACAGTGAAGGAGAGTCTTGGTAGAAGTCATACCACCAATATATGTCCATTTAAAGGACACAAGCCATTTTTAACCAAACTTAATTGTGAGGTCAAAAATCCCAGGTGAGAGCACAACTGGTGTCAGTGTTGGTGGAGGTACACCATATATGATAAAAGGAAGATTTATACGGCACAAGTCATTTTGAAATGAAAGAATCAAGCTGTGGAGATGGACTTCATTAGTTTTATAGTTATTGTGCACACTGTTTATTATATATTTCTTTATTACCCACTTCATACTGGGATTTTTCATGATATTTTATTTGGCATTATGGATGATTAAGAAAAGCGTGGCACATTAATTGAATTTTTTTGTCATTTGCACATCTGTACGAGTATGTGTAGGTGTGGGTGGCTTTTCATTTTCAAATAATTTTTTGAGGTAATTTAGAATTGCTCTCAGGTTTTCATATATATATTTTAGATGCAGGAAAAGCAGTAGTGGAGGAAAGGTGCAAGTCAAAGCAGACCATTCCCATAGTGTCCCCAGAACATCCATCACAAACGCTTAGGATCCCTGGTCCTGGAAATGAACAAGGTCAAGGTTTACAATGAACCTGGATGCCAGAAGATCCAAAAACCCAGTTTGTCCCCCCCATCGACAGCTCTTCTCAAACACCTCTGGTTAAAGAGCCCACTGCCCCAGAAATTTTTTTTTATTGGACTGAACTCCTATAGGGAGACCTTGCTGATGTGACCAAGTCACCAAGTCCTTGAACAGAAAAGTAATCCAAGACTCCTCCTCAGCCCGCTAAGTTGGTGACCATTGTAAGCACCTTCCAAGAAAGGGGGAGAAAGATTTTCCTGTCTCAAGCGATGGCAAAGGCATCCACAAATCCGAAGACCAAAAAGTGCTGGAGAGTAAGGACGTCAGGAAGTCTAACAACTGCAGCCTCCTCTCTTATGCCTCTTGGACCATTGCGAGGCCCAGGTACCTTTCCTCTGAGCGATTAGAATGGATCCAGATAGAACCAGTCTCCTGACCCCTGTTGGAACCATTAAAAGTCTGGGAAATTATGCAGAAAAAAAGCAACAGTGACCACTGCCTTCAGACAATGGCAAAAAAAAAAAAACCTGAAGCCTCTCCTACATGGCAGGGGTTACATCAAGGAGAGGAATTCCAGTCTTTTCCTACCAGTGTCCAATCACCTGTAGGTGGCACATATCCCTGGTAGCAAGGTAAAGCTGCAAGTCCCATGATATAAAGATATTAAAAGGAAAAAAAAATAAATGCTCTATGTCCCATGAATATATATATAAGGATATATTATACACACAAAACACAAAAGAACTATAAATATTGAGGCTAAAGAGATGTTTTCTTTAGTTATGGGACTAAATGGACGAACTAAATATTGAGGCTAAAAGATTCTTTAGCTCTTTTAACTAATAAAAGCACATCTTTATTATGTTTTAAGAGTTAACCAAAACCATTCTTACCTTTAACAATTGCTTTAGCACAGGCATTGTAAACTTGTTCTTGAGATGTGTTTGATTGGAATACTCGGTCAAAGACATAAGGTTTGGTCTATATCAGGGGGGAAAAAAAAATAAATAAAGTCACATCAGCATGGAGGTTATAGTGGACAGGTCATAGTAATGGATATAGTGGTATGGATAAAGGCATGCCATCCTGACACAAGTGCTAGTTATAGAGGAGAGTACATTGCAGTGTCCCGATACAGGTTACTATAACAAAAACATAAATTGAAGCACACAACACCACTGCAAAAAGGTTCAGACGTGACTATTCCAATAAAAGTCAGGGGATAAGCTAAAAAACAGCCAATGCGTTTCAGGAGTCCAAAAGTACCATTACATCTCAGTAAACAGGAGATGTAATGGTATTTCTTCCACTGTGATTACAAGCACCCGTCATGTCAGCAACTGGTTTGGCAGACATACCAGCTGTTTACAAGACCTGTGCTGGTAATCATAGTGGAAAATATACCAATAAAAAAAAAAAAAAGGTACAGTTCATTTCTAGTTCGTTCACATTGTTTTCAATCACGCCCTGATGAAGGTGGCATTTTTTGGACCTCCAGAATCTGCTGGTACTTTTTGGATTTTTTTCCCCTAATTTATTTGAATAAAACTGCATCTGGGCCTTTCAGCAGCGGTGTGCCACCCCAGTTCACATTTTTTGTTACATTACACTACAAGCCGAGACAGTAGAGATCTTCCATGGTGTAGAAGCCTCCTCTTACATCAACATTTTAGGATAGCAATATTGGTAAGATAATTAACGGATACAGTGCTATTTTTTTACCTTCTTTAACAAATACAGCTTAGGACAGAATGTAGCACACTGCCTTATACCAACATGCCACCTTATACTAGCATGCCGTCATCTGGTACAGAAGCTGGGTATGATGAGCTGAACAAATATATATATATATATCTCCATATCCATCCATGCACACATATACACACATACATACATATATACAGTTAGGTCCATATATATTTGGACACAGGCACGATTTCAGTTTCTCAGGTATTATCCATTATATAACTATAGTTTGAATATGTTTTGGTAATGGACTGAAAGTGCACACTCTCAGGTTTAATGTGAGGATATGTACATTCAAATTGTAGGAAGGTAGGAATTACAGTTCTTAAGAAAAGCCAACCCCCTTTTTCAAGGGACCAAAGGTAATTGGACAATTGAATCAAAAGTTGTTTCTTGGCCAGGTGTGGGCTACTCCAGTGTTATTTCTTCATCAATTAAGCAGGTAAAAGGTCTGGAGTTGATTCTAAGTGTGGTATTTGCATTTGGATTCTATTGCTGTGAACCTACATCATGTGTTCAAAGGAGCTGTCCAAACAGCTGTCCATGCAAGTGGAAAGAGTCCATTGTAAGGCTTCAAAAACTAAACAAATCCATGAGAGAGATAGCAGCAACATTAGGAGTGGCCAAATCAACAGTTTGGTACATTCTGAGGAAAGAAGAATGCACTGGTGAGCTCAGCAACATAAAAAGGCGTGACCTCCACGGAAGACAACAGTGGTGGATGATCGCAGGATACTCTATATGATAAAGAAAAACCCATTCACAACATCCAGACAAGTGAAGGACACTCTCCTGGAGGTGGGCGTATCATTGTCAAAGTCTACAATCAAGAGAAGACTTCACGACAGCAAATACAGAGGGTTCACCACAAGGTGCAAACCAGTCATAAGTCTGAAGAATAGAAAAGCCAGATTAGACTGCCAAAAAAAACATTTAAAAAAGCCAGACCAGTTCTGGAAAAGCATTCTTTGGACGGATGAAACAAAGATTAATCTGTACCAGAATGAAGAAAAAAGTGTGGAGAAGGCTTGGATCAGCTCATGATCCAAAGCACACAACGTCATCTGTAAAACATGGTGGAGGCAGTGTGATGGCATGGGCATGCATGGCTTGCAGTGGCACTGGGTCATTGATGTTTATTGATGATGTGACAGAAGACAGAAGCAGCCGGATGAATTCTGCAGCGTTTAGAGATATACTGTCAGCCCAGATTCAGCCAAATGCAGCAAAGTTGATTGGACCGTGCTTCATAGTACAGATGGACAATGATCCAAAACACACTGCAAAAGCAACCCAGGAGCCTTTGAAGTAAAAGAAGTGGAAAATTCTGCAATTGCCAAGTCAATCACCTGATCTCAACCCAGTTGAGCATGCATTTCATTAGCTGAAGGAAAAACTAAAGGCAGAAAGACCCACAAAACTGAAGACAACTGCAGTTAGAGCCTGGCAAAGCATCAGAAAGGAGGAAACCCAGTCTTTGGTAATGTCCATGGGTTCCAGACTTCAGGCAGTCATTGCCAGTAAAGGATTCTCAACAAAATATTAAAAATGAACATTTTATTTCTGATTATAATTATTTGTCCAATTGCATTTGAGCTCCTGAAAATGGTGGACTGTGTATACAAAATGGTTGCAGTTCCTAAATTATGTATTTGATATTTATGTTTAACCCCTTGAATTAAAGCTGAAAGTCTGCACTTCAAATTCATTTGGAATGTTTCGTTTTAATTTATTCTGGTGGCATACAGAGCCAAAAGTATGAAAATTGTGCCTGCGTCCAAAAATATATGGACCTGTGTACACACACACACACACACACACACACACACACACACTAGATTTCACACACCCTTTTTTATTTTTTAATAGAGCATGTGCAGAGTATACTTGGAAAAAAAGAACACATGGCTAGCTAAATGCAGCAATCATTTTCCCCTTGAACAAATGGCAAGCTATAATTACACGATCGCTCATTATATACAGTACAGGCATATGACCCATTATAAAGGCCACATAGCTTTAAAACAGACTACTTAGACACAGCACAGAAGCCACATTAAATCATCACACATCTGAGAACTTTTACATTATTTACAGTGAAATCTGTTCTTCATAAACAAATGTCACCGGTCACACCGCTTTGATTTAAAATCGTGTGATTTGTGTGCAATTTCAGGTGTGATTTCTGAAGACTTTATTGCTACTTGTGAAGATTTTTAAGAATTTCTTGCAATTTGCAGTGTGATTCCCATTATATTCTATGTATGTGAAATCGCAACAAAAAACTGCAGAAAAGGTAATGCATGAACTACTATAGAAATCGCGCTGCAGCAAAATCGCACGTTAAGACACTGACATTCATTAGATGTGATTTCAGGTGCAATTTCAATTTCGCACCTATAAAAACGCACCGGTGTGACAGGGTACTAAAATGGGATTACATAAATATTTTCTATTCTACACTGTTTTATAGCCAGGGACTTTCTTTTTTTTAATCAGATTGTTTGTGTTTCTAATAAAAACTGTTTCCATACACAGTTAAGTTTTTGTTTTAACAAAACAACCCAAAAACAAGTGAACAAGAAAAAGCTGAAAATAACAAACACTTGTACAGGTCCGACACACGGGCCGACCCTTGCAATGTTCCAAAACATAAGCAATAGAAAAAAAAAAAAAAAAAAAAAAAACCCACAAAAAAACAATAATCCGCCTGCCCCACTGCCAATCCAACAACCAACAACACTCAGTTCTCATTATACATAAGATGGAGGACCATAACATAAGGAGACAACATATTATAAAATAAGAGACTAGTAAGTCGTCACACCCACCAGATCATTATTTCTCAGATATCAAGCAAATCCTTAAGGAGGGCCGACACACCACCTATAGCTACAGGAGTCCAAAAAATGAAAAAACGCAGGGTCATCATTACTCAGCTGACTAAATACCATCAGATATAGTTCACACTTATAAAGTCACAGTACCCGTCAAATCAGAACTACCGGAGCGCCCTCACTCAATCTATCTTTGACCAAGTGAAGTGGTGCAAGGCCCGGGACACCCAGTCAAGCCTCCCAAAGTTTAATTTACCTGCACACTCCCTATGTTGAAATACTAATTTCTCCCAATGTAACATGTCGTTAACAGTTTGATCCAACCTGATTTCGAGAGCGAAGTAGGAGACAGCCAATGTTGAGCTACGAGTTTCCTAGCCACAAATCAGAGATGGAGAATAGCAGTATACAAATGAGAATCAAAATTCTCCTCGTCCATCCAGCCAGCTCAATCAACACAGTTTCGGGTCTAAGGGTAGGGCGAGAGAATATTATAGAACAATTACATGACAGAGGACCAGTAACGCACCAACTTGGGAACACTTCCAGAGCGTGTAGAAGAGTACCATTCTCAACTGTGCAATGCATGCATAACGGAGTGTCCCTCCTACGCCAAGAAAATCATTTCTGTGCAGTGCAATAAGTACAATGAATTATAAAAAGCTGGGTACGTTTCTGGGAGGAGGATAAGGATACTGAAGTGACATTGGATAGTATTATGGACCGTTCTTCTTCCGAAATGGCAGCTCCTCTGTCAACGATTGCTTCCACACATGCGGGAAAAGTGCCCTCTGCCATGTATCCCAGGTTTCGTTTGCCCATCTGCGGGCCCAGGACTGGCATAGCGGGTGCCGCAGGGTAAAGGGGAGGAAGGAGAGCAGACACACGTCCGCTCTCCTCCCCATCTTGTTCCTGACCTGGAAGAGACCTGTATGAAGTCACTTCCAGGTCCCCGTTGACAGTTTCTCCAGCCAGCATGGTCAGGAAAGAATGTAATGAAATGCGGTCTGCACTGCATCACATTCAGTGGAGCATAGAGGAGACATATAGGGTCTTTTAAACCCTGCATGTTCATTAAAGAACCTGTCATCAAAAAGTCATCACAGAGGACTTTTTGTCCCCTATGTGAAGAAAAAAAAAAAATTATTTTAATTGTAAATAAACTCATCACATAAAATTGCCCCCCCCCCCCCCACCTCCACATATACACAAGTGCAAACAAATGCACGTATTGGGGCACCAATGTATGAAAACGACGCTTGTGATACACATGAGAGCAATAATTCCAGCACCTGACCTTCTCCGTAATGCTAACCTGATGACCTAGGGAACTTTAAAGTTTCGCCTATAGAGCATAAAGGGTACTGTAGCTTGGCTCATAACTTTTTTTAGCTGATT